AACAGAGCTGGCCTTCCTGATGAGTTTATCCAACCTCTTCCTCTCAGCTGCCAATAAACTGCTGCTCCAACATACCACACTGTAAAGATTAATCGAGTACTCTAATAAATTACCCTTTTGTATTTGTAAACCATTATATCAAATAGCATGTTATAATTATGAAAGACCTGTTAAAATGAGCAAGCAATTGCCAGTTACTCTTCAAGTTTTATTCAAAATTAGTTTTCAAAACTTCAGCACTTCAACTTTACTTCACAGTAAACAAATGGCTGTGCAAAAAATAAGTAAACAACCTGAGCCGATTTTCCCCTCGTGCGAGAATCTGCTAGCCTGCAAGCCAGACAGAAACTAGGAGGATAACTGTTGGAAGTAGCGCTGCGAGCGGCTGCGGCCCAAACAGAACCAGAACCGCTCACGGTGCATGCGCAAACAGCTCGCCGGCTGTTTCCCTATTAACACACGTCCGTTTTAATTTCAACACGTTTTTACTCACACAATAACAAGGATTGTCGAGAAAGCATGTTTGCTGTGGTTTTGTCAAATTATACTGATCACAAAACATTTATTTACTTTCTTTCGTTTTCCTCTCATAAATACCCGTGTCCTCCTGCAGCAATCCCGAGGGACAACAAACATCAATAACACAATAAAAAGTCCGACGTTTTGTGTAAAAATGCTATTTTTTAGCACATTTTAAGTCCGACGTGTTGCTACCAGACGTACGGTGTGAGCTGAAACTAAGTGCTACAAACGAAAAAGTCACACAGTGTCCGCAGAATATATAGAAATACAGGCTAAAATGCATTATCTTGTAGAGGCTCCGAGTCCGCTTGCAGAAGTGACATTTACAGGCGCTGCAGCAGCATGGAGGATGTGGTGTTGTGCTAGGCTAAATCCATTTTACAGTATTTACACTGGAGTACGTTTTCCGCCTAACGACGTAAAAATGGTCTCACATCTTGACATTTTCTGTCTTTTTCGCACTCCACCGGGGTCCACGTTGTCCGCCATGGCTTAAGAGAAAGTTAAGTTACATTCGCTACTCGCGTGTGCAGTCCAGTGGGCATGTGCGTCACTTATTTCAGTCCGGGTGAAACATGACCACGGGCGACTGCAAAGCCACGAATTAATTAAATATGAATTAAACGAATCCTCGAGGATTTTTTGTACTCGAATTATTCGAGGTACTCGAGGAATCGTTTCAGCCCTAGACAGTATACTCGTAAGTAAGGAGCCTGGCCTCGCAAGACATCGCGTCACAAGATAAGGTACCTTGACATTGAGAAACACTAGGGGTGTTCCAAAAAGGGTACTTCACGATTCGATTTTGATTATGGGAGCTTCGATGCTTCGATTATAATGATTTTTGGTTTGATTCGATTACTGGTGCCACGATTCTTCAATTATTGACACTTTTAATGCTTTTTTCATACAAGATTGTCTTCTTCTTTATCTACATTTGTAAATAAATAACCTATCAATTAATTCAGTTCCTCTAAAACTACTCTCTGTTAGTAAATACATTTTTTTTAACATTTAACTATTTTTCAAAGACAAATTCTCATTTTATGACTGTATGACGTGTAAATATTTGCACTTTGACCAACTTAACTTCGATCAGGGAAAGCTTTACTTACATTAGTGTCCCCTCCATTGTTGGGGAAACACTGAAAACAGGCAAGCTAATAGAGATAATTAATTAAAGTAAACAAGATTTTTACTTCCATCAAATTTATTTAATGGAAACTTAATGAGTCTGGCATATGATAACATTACAAAAAAGCTGCCATACAGATCAAAAGTGCATTCCTCAAAATAAAATAATTCAGCTTTTTTCAGTCTGGAATATAGGTAACAGAAAAAAACTGCTATATTTGAAGGTAGTATGTTGTATTTTTTCAGAACAAAAGTGCATAATTCAACTGAACATATATTCAGCCTGGAGCTTCAGTACAGTGAGGTGAACACAACAAAATAGAGCAGAGTGACACTCATACTCATCTGTCCTCCCATACTCCCTCCCCTCCCTCTTGTCCCCCTACATCCTCCTGTTGTGTGAGATGGGCAAATGTCAACATGGTGCTACTTTGACTCTCACTCATCTCTCGAGTTTGAAAAAAGTGACTCACCAACTTCCACCCGTTCTTGTCCGATGCGAGAACAAAATGCGCTGTTACAGTAACGAAGGATTTGGAGGCAACCGATGTCCATGCATCTCATGTGAGCGCTATCCCGGTTGCCTTCTTCATGGACTCCAGAACGCTTGCTTTGGTTTCCTCATAGAGGTGGGGGACTTCTTTTTCTGCGAAATGTTTTTGGTGAGGAAGTTTATAGCGCGGCTCCATGGTGCGCACCACAAACTGAAACCCCCTGTTGTTAACTACGGAATACGGATATAGATCCGTCGCGATTAAAGTAGCTATTGCTTTTGTAATGCTCCTTGCCTTCTCTGAGTTCTTCGGTAGTTTGGAGACAGTCTCCAGGATGGAGAAAGAGGTCAAAGAGGTAGTGCCACTCAGTTAACAGTCCGGGCGGCGCGCGCGTTAAGGCTCTGGTTACGTGTTTATTTTTAGTACCGGCTTCGCAACAAAACTTTGATGTGATGTTTTTTTAAGCATCGACATTCATTAATCGATGCCGAAACAACATGTTAAGCTTTTAGATGCATTGCCACATCGATTAATTGCACCCACCCCTAAGAAACACCCAGTAGCTTCAGACCATAGACACGAATACATAGACACCTCATTGGGTGCTGGAAAGCGAGACAGCTTCACCACCATATTGGATGGGTTCCTCATTCTTCAAACCCAACTGGAATCAATGCAGAGTGGGCAATTATGCCCATTTTTTTGTGCAGCTTACAGTTGCAACAACCGGAAAACAGATCACGTGGGATTACTATTGACTTTTCTAGCCTACTCTTGGGATTTTATATTTTAATTTATTTTATCTTAGTAAAATTTATATTTTAATTAATTATTGTGTCTGATTTTGTGAAAGGGCATTGTAAAATGTGTTATTTAGTTGGGTAAACCCCTTCCTCAGTAGAACTAAATGCACAAGAGGGCAAATGGAGACCCATCCAAGATGGCTGCCGACCACCACAGTAGCTCCAATAAGCAGCGCCAGTCCACAGGGTGTCTACATATATGATGTATGTGCTTCTAATGGCAGGTTTTGGTCTCTACAGCCTAATTTCGACTTCTCCATCAGCTCCGCAAGGGAGAGATATTGATAGAGATATTTTGCTCTCGGACTTCTCTGTCAGCTGGGGATTGTTGCAAAACAATTCCCCACCAAGATGAGAGAGAGTGTAGCGCTATCCTGCCACCATTAGTCATGTATCCGGTCCACAATAATGGTTTAACTAATATGTTTACATTGTTTTAATGCATTTCAGAGACTTTTTAACACAAACAAATTTGTTCCCCATCCACCTCTTCATGCAATCGGCACCTCTAAACTCATGTTTCTCGCCTTTTCCGACCAGGAATAAAATTTTTGCTGCTAGGGATGTCCCGAGATACAACTTTTACACTTCAGATACGATACAGATATTGCTGCCTTCAGTATTGACCGATGCCAATTTCAATATAATCACAATCAGCACAAATCATTCATACTTTGACCTATTTCGTTGGTAAAAGTTTTGTGTGGAATATATGAAAGGCTTGATCAAGTGATATTACTCAATCGGAGAACAAGAGCCAATAACAGTAAGTATGAAAAAAATTACTATTTTTTTAACCATTGGTTGCAAAAATGTGAACCTTAACGGACTGCTTATATCAGAGATTTGTAATGCAGTCTGATATAATCCAATACAGTGTTTTTGGGCCGATATTGAATTACTTCCGATATCGATATCGGAACAGGACATCCCTACTTTGTACTCCTTCAGTCACGGGTGAATAAACATTCATATTTTCTGTCATTTTCCACAATGCGTTCTTCAATCTGTTCCAGGTCTGCCGCTAAATATCGATTTACTTTTTAAGGGGGCAAAGGCTGTGCTGTTGAGAAATTTACCAGAAGCAGTCTCCTGACCAATCACAAGCTTGCGGTCTCTGTAACTTTCAATGGATATTTTAAAATGTGAGCATGTCTCCATCACCCTCTGCGAGCCTGTCGAAGAGCTCTTGCACCGCCGAATAAAGGTGTTGCGTGTTTCTGTACCCATGCAGATGGAGAGGTATAAGTCAGGCTTTATTTCCTGACATTGTGACATTTCACCTCTGATTGGCTAACAGCAACACGACTCTACCACTGACTTCAAAAGCCTGAAGGATTTCTGCTGTCTTCTGGAGTTGCTAATGCTAATGGTTAGCTTCTACTAACAGGGACATTTTTTGCAGTTTCCTGGACGTTAAACTAACGTGAGTCAAGATGGGTGAGTCCATGAACATTAAATGACAGTGTGACATAGATCTGTCAGGATTTTCGTTTCACAATCATTTCAATGTCTGTTTTCTATCAGAAGCTAATACAGGAGCTAGGTGTATGACACCTGTATGAAAAAAGTAAGAGTGACTGATTATTACCAGAAATAATGATTTAAAAAAAATCGGAGTTCCACACCTTTAATAATTGATTGTCGAGTTAATAAAATGGAATAAGAATGGAATAATTTTTTTAAATCAATTAATAATCAGATTATGGCTTTAGTTTTGTTTACAGTCCTTTTTAGATTGATAAGCTAATCGAATCAAATCAATCATTGTCTCGGTAGTAGTAACAGACTGAAACGGAACTGTCAGGTCAGAGATCATGTCCTCAGACAGCTTTAATCTTTGACCATTGACAGTCAGTCATTTATTCATACAACAACTTTAATGTCGAGCAGGTCATCAGAATGCCTATGTGTGCAGTTCAATATCAAACGGGGACAACAATGTGTCCCTAAAAGACAACCTATGTCTAAGCCAACTATTGGGTCCCACAAATCATCAATGATAAAGACAGCCTTAGCTTGAAACAAACCACCTTAAAAACCTTACCTTTGTTTTTCCGGAATTCGTTCTTTAACGACCTGGCCGTTTTCATTAAAGGTGCTCTGGATCTCGTAAACAGGATTAACGCCATGCTGCTTTAAGTCTAAAGTCGCAACCTTTAAACGGTAAATTACAAGCTAGCTTAGCTAGTCGGTAAACTGGCGACAGTTTGGTCCAAATGTCAAAACTAAAGCGCCACTATTATAGTAGAACATATAAACATGAACTAATTCACGTTCTAAACAAATTACGATACACGTTTAACTGAGAAGTGGAAATTTTAGCTTCATGCCATGTCCTTCCTAGAGTCCTCCAACAAGAGGATACTAGACTTTGCTGGTGGGTCTACACCATTTACACGCCGGCGGACGAAGCAGCGCATTGATTTGTAGGCGGAGTTTGAACCCCATTTTATTGCTCTGCTCATATCCAGCGAAAATACTCGCGTAGGTTTGCTTCACTTCAGTCACATATCTGATATAAAAACCTAAATGATGTTTTGATGCCAAGCTCCTGATGCAATCAACAAACGTATATGGCTTAGCCTTTACCAGTCGGTGATTTCCTGCATTTTCTTGTATTTACTATCTCAAATTGACATTTGTACAGTTGTATTTATCACAATAAACACTGGCACGTCACGTCAACTGTCCGTAATTTCGCCTTCATTTCAACAGAGACGTTTCTCTCTCTCCCCGCTCGCCATTAACCCTAGCCGGGTAATACGCCGGCTAACTGGAAGGGAATGGATGCATGTTTTTTCCTTCACGCGCTTGACAGCCGGGTTCTTGCATGACGTCAAACTCTCCAGCTCTTTTCCGGTCCGATACTTTAGGAAAATAAAAGCCGATTTTTGTGACAGTGCAAGAAATCTGACTTCTTCAAATTCAGAGACGTGTCTGATTTTCAAATTATACGATGGACTTTAAAATTTTTGAAGTCAACAAAATAAACAATAAAAGTAATATATGCCCATTGTTCGGCTTATTAGTCAATAAAATAATTGCTTCAAGATAAAATGTTCCTTTAACTGTCACTTAGGAAGTAGACTATACAAAGGCATTTAATTTCATATTCTTATAAATGTTTATAGTCTTAGATGTACTGAAATTATAAGGGTATAGAAGCTGTACTAACATTAATGACTAAACATAACAGAAAATGTAGTTTTTTCCAAACCATCGAGTTGGAAAGAACATACAATGCTACATGTTTATTTTCTTTGCTGTTTTGCAAAGATTGATTTTTAAAATGATATTGTTAATAGCTGCACCCAAATTTCAGATTTTAGACTAGTCATTGGTTGCTCTGAAATTAAATTGAAAACTTATAAAGTGGTTATGAATATTAAATGTAAATAAAAACTATTGAAGTTGTCGAAAAACAGCAATGGACACCTACAGAGGCCATCAACTCTACGGTTTGTATTTTTTTCTTCTTTTCATTTGAAAGGACCGGTTGGATTCTCGCAGTGCAGCTGCCGACCAATCGGAAGTGAGTATTTTTCGCGCTGGTTGGCCCCGTAGTTTGAGTTTCCCGCAAGTGCTTGACTCGAATGAATAAATCTTTTTTACAATATGACTATCGACATTTTTTCGTTTAACCACAACTGACGAGATTCAACAGGTAAATACGGAGAAAATGTTTGTCATGATATTCACGGTGCCACTACATCACCGGAGTGGAGTCTTTACATGTACATTTTTGTTCAGACCGACCTTCCATTTTAGCAAGCTAGCTGGCTGTGCTAACGTTAAAATGCTTTTTGACCTGTTTTCTATAGAGCGCTAGTTAGCTTCGGCTAGTACCGTTAGCTTCTTAGGACAAGCTGGTGTGGCGCTTACGATGTAAACGTATTTATGAATCAGCAACTGCTATACTAGAACAAATTTTATAAGTCAGTCTAACCAAATTTTCTACATTTTGTTACGTTTTCTGTATTATTTGATTTGACTTGCTACTGACTCAACTAGCATTTGGGTGGCGGCTTTGTCTATTTGCTGGAGTTCTATTTAATGGCTGACTGGGATGACGAGATGGATGTAGTTGTCCATGGCTCACGTCCATGAGATTCCATCATCGTGGCTTTTGCTTCAGGGCATAGCCGTATCCTTAGCATGACATGATAGTAAAGTTTTTCACTGCTAGCCGGCAGATCAGAATTAAGCATAGCTAACAGCGTTTATTGCCGTCACTGTTGGTCAACTTGAGTGTTGTGTTACAATTAAGGTTAGCGTTACACTGAACAGTTTAACTGGAACAGCACAACGGATTTCAACAATGATTCAGACTCTGGCTGCAGTGTTCAGGACTCTTAGGCTGCCTCCATTTCCTTGGCTTTTCGTTAACCGGCCCCACTCATCGGGCAGTTGCCGATTCAGACGGAGCCTGCAGGCTGCCTTCGCCTTGCCACTTTTGCTTAGTCTCCGGCTAGCACATAGCTAGTTTTCAGCCAGGAATAAGCTAACCATAAACTGTGTCGGTAATGGCCGCCTTAAATCTTTGTTATACATTTGAGTTTTCTTGATTCTCATGTGTAATCGAAATGGAAATAGTTGAAGTCGCTGTTTTGGGGAGATTTTGTGGCATTTGAGTTTTACTGTTGTTGCTTTTTGATTTATGTTAGCCTCAGGTTACTGGTTGATCAAGTAGCTGCTCTTGTGTAGAAAAGCATCCAAACGACGCGGGTAGGTTTGTCCATGACAAGTGCAATCTACGTCGCCTCCAGCCTCACAGTTCACGCTCCCTTAGAGCATGTGAGTGCTATTTTGTTAACTCTGTGACATTAAACTCGATGGATGCATAACCCAGAAAATCGAGTATTGTAGGGATAACTCGCCCTACACATTATTGTATATTGTTTTTGTGAATGGCCCAAAAAAGATTATTTTTGTATCTCTTGATTTGCAGTCTGGTGAGCCTGAAGGGGTGGGATGGACGGCATTGGTAGCTCATTGCCTTTAATGCCTGAACCAGCCAATCCAGTCAGCATGAAGCAGCCACCTGAGTCTTTATGTGTGAGAAAAGGCCATGGGGACATGGGCAGTGATCCAACTCTGCTAATGGACAAAGCTGCAGCACAGCTGGCTGCCACCTTACAGGATAGCGTCCTTCAGAAGATGGCTGGCCACAGTCACAACAACCACAATCATGAGAGGCTGAAAAGTCTGACTTCCCTGGTGCTAAACGGTGACCAGGATGTGCTGCCTAAGCTGTGTACTCCAGATCCACCCATGCTACAAGGTGCTGAAGCCCCAGATGCCACCCATCAGAGCAACTGCACGCCTCTCAGTGAGCCGGAGTTAAAGGTGACCATCCCCCAGGTAGTCAAGCAGTTATCATATGAACCATCCTATGCTAAAGGGACCAGCCTAGTCACGGCCTCTGAAGGTGCTTTATCTGGACACGATGAAAGACCGGATGTGATGAACAGAAGAGGGAGAGCACACAAACCCAAAGCTCTACTAAACTGCAGTTCATCTGTGATTGCCATGGATTCTCTAGACCACACAGATACTGTTGATGACACTAGAGCAGCTGATGAGGTTTTACTTTGATTTTCTTAAAGCTAACATACTTATTTTAAACCCTGTTGCATAAATAGTTATACATCATTCTTCCTTAAGGTGACTTTCTGTTTAGTAAACAAACTAAACAAAGTTGAAATGAATTTAGTTTCCATGCTGACAAATTTAGTAACTTCTCACTGATTAACAAGCATGGGAGTATCAAACGATGGTCCTCAGGGGCTGCTATCCAGCATGTTTTAGTCGTTTGCCTGCTCCAACACACCTGAGTAATCAGCAGGTACTTTTTGGATCAAGTGTGTTGGAGCAGGGAAACAAATAAAACATGCTGGATAATGGCCCTCTGGGACCAGAGTTTGAGACCCGTGCTTTAAATTTCAGATTGAATTTATTTACTTTTATTTTTTCTATTTTAAATTTTCTGTAGTTAACAAACTTTGATTTTTGGGATTACGCTTCTGTTTGATTTGGTGATTAGCCCACTTTTCTCTCCTCCAGCATGCGCTCATGTTGGAACTGGTGGAGCAGTCAAAAGAAGAGTCTCCTCTGCAGGCTAGTTTTTCTGTCGGGGATCTGATTTGGGCAAAAGTGTCGGGATACCCTTGGTGGCCGTGCATGGTGACCACAGACCCAGAGTTCAGCGTTCATATTAAGCAAAAACAGAAGGGTGAGCGCCTGTTACTGACACCTGTAATGGTCTAGCCTGGCCTGCCAGACGACTCCTCTGTTTAATCCTGCACAGAGAAAGAATCTGGTAACTCTCCCATGCAAACAACCCCACCCCCTGGGAATTCTAACCGAAGCCAATCAGCGCTGAGCAGCTTATGTCACACACCGCGATGCTCAATTTCTCATGAACAGCGAAGATGGCGTTTGAAGTGGAGTTCGCCGCGGCTCTTTCCTCTTGGGCATGTCTTTAAAACCACAACAAAAAGAAGCGCTAAAAGCCTTTCTTCTAAAGAAAGATGCTTGCGCCAACGCCAGGCGCCATTTTTGACTACATCTAAAAGACTACAGCGTCGCGCGGTATTGTCGGCAGTTCCACATCTTTTTCTGATTGGTTATTTTTGAGCTGGTTAGTCCCACCTCTCATGTGCCTCTCTGCCTTTAAAGAGCAAGTCAACCCCTGCCAGATTCTTACTCAACTCCCTCTTCATGTTTGAAAAATGCAACAAATGCTGTTGCCTTGCAGACCAAGAGGGCGGAGCCGCAAACCAATACACACACACAGGCTCACAACGACATTGTGACATAAGGACCAGTTTACATCATAGCATACCTCTTAGCCAATAGCAGTGGCAGATTTAAATTCAAATGCAGTGCAGAGTTTTTACCTGACGACAGCACAACACTGCCAGTTTTAGGCAGAATATTTAAATTTTAACTAAGATGCACTGAAGTACCAAATAATTGACTACACGTGTCTGCAGCACGATTAGACACTCGTTTATTTAGTTTATCAGGCAAAAAAAAGTTGATTTGGGTGTGACTTGCTCTTTGAGTAACCAGACGTACTCTGCTCAGCGCTGATTGGCTTCGGTTAGAATTCCCAGGGGGTGGGGGTATTTGCATGGGAGAGTTACCAGACTCATTCTCTGTGCAGAATTAAACAGAGGAAGAGTCTGGCAGGCCAGGCTAGTAACAGTCATGGTTCAAACCTAATTTTTTAAACAAATTCTATATTTCCAGAGCAAAGTTACTAATTTATTTTGTGCTTCTTCATTTTAGAAACCAATGGCAGATTAGGGCCCTTTTACCATATACAGTATTTTGGAGATGCCCCAGAGAGAGGCTACATCTTTGAGAAGAACATGGTGTCCTTTACCGGAGAGAACCAGTACCTTGAGCTGAGCCAAAGCAGCAAAGCAGCAGCTTCCTGTTCAGTTCGTAGAAAGGTACAGTAAAGCAGCCAATCCCATGGTTCTTATGCCCTTTGGTCACGTAGAGCCATTGTTGTGACACTGTTAGGATGGACTCAGAGTTTAATCCTCAAGTCATCACAAATGTTCATTGTAGGTGAAAACCATGCATCCTTGGGAATATTGGTAGTAGGGTACTACAATGGTCCTTTGTGTTTGTTGTATTATGTTATAAAGAAAATCTCCAGGTGTTTTCAGGCAATGTTTCGTGTTTTCCTGCTGTATCAATACTAAAGATACATGTTTATGTGTAAAAACCTCTGCTAGCAACATTTTCCATCACTGTTTTCACCGTTTTGTTTTTGCCATTAAGCGAACTCCCTCCATACCACGTAAACTCCAGGCTCAGTGGAACATGGGCATCATCCAGGCCAACGAGGCCCTTAGCATGACTCCTGAGAAGCGCATTGAGAACTTTGTTTTTTTTTATGATGATGATGGGCCTCATCTGAACCCTCGCATCTTGGAGAAGCTGAAGCCAGATCAGAGTAACGTGATGATGCTAGAGTCCGAGCACAGTCCAGATCTTCTGTCCCTGCTGGTTAGTTCTGTCTGCATCAACTCCGAGGGGTTCAGTTCTCTTTCTGTCAGAAAACATTCCTCTATTAAATCAATGAATCTTTATTTCATGACAGAAGTTCACAACATCGGCACCATGTGTGAAAGCTGAACCAGCTGTACCTCAGAAGAAAGACGGGTCCAAAGATGTTCAGCCTCCTACCAAGTCAGGAAGGAGGACAAAACTATCTCCAGTCAACAGAACTCATGACCCAATGAGAAAAACCAAAATGAAGCTGGTTTCTTTTAGAGGAATGGGTTCTAAAGGAGCCTCGCTTCAAGCTCCAGGTTGGTTACGAGTTATCCAGTCGCCTCCAAAGCTGCTTTACATAAGCATTTGTTTCAGCTGACTTTGTTTTGGAGTTTTTGTCATCTTGTGTCACAAATGAAGTAAAGAATCTGAGTAAAGTAAACTTTAGAAGAGTCCTATTTTAGAGGCCCTTCTGCTTCAACACACCTGATTCTAATCAGTAAGTGATCAGTAAGCATCTGCAGAGTTCCTGAATATGTAATTCAATCAACCAGGTGTGTTGGAGCAGAGAAACAACCAAAACATGCGGGACAGGAGATTTGATGGGCCAGGAGTGGACCACCCTGGTTTAAGTTAAACATAAAACAAACAACAGTTTTCCTCTTTCAGTAAGAAGAGAGCGAAAGAAGCTAACTGACGATGCGACGAACGAGGACCAACAACCCAATAGGAGATGTAAAACTAGCAAAAACACAGAAAAACAGGTAAATGATAACAGCTGGTTTTAATGTGGGTGTGTTTCTTCTTTATTCTGAGTGATGTTTTATTTTTCAGGTGTCAGGTTTAGAAGACACAAACGACAAGAAGAGGAGAAAGAAGAAAAACGATCTTAAAGAAGGAAAAGAACCCAGAAAACAGACGGTGAAGTCTAAAGGTCTCCTTAACGGTAAACCACGTTTAGCTTTGTTTCTTCATCTGGAATTTCACATAAACCCACTTTTTGCTGCTGTTCATAATCACCCTGGTTAGTAACTATTGATTCTGACTGCACACAGATGAGCTTAATGCAGACAAACCGAAGCGTCACAGGAAAAGGAAACGAGATGGAGAGAACCAGAACACTGCCTCTAAAGCTAAAAGGAGGCGGTCCTCCCCCTGTCCCAACCCTGAGGTCAGTCGGTTAGCAGCGCCTGAATTTTGGGACTTTCAAACTCATTATAAAGAACTGGGAACAGCGTTCTTGCATACACGATTATGATTAGAGAAGGCAAAAATTACCAGAATGTTGAAAAACATCCAGCATTTTCTAGAAATGCTGAATGGTTGTGGGTGTGGTTCTGAGCATCAGTTAGATCCTGCTGCAGTGATGGGATCAAGTGATCTCTGGAATTTTCCCTGGGTTTCTACAGAGCTGGTTAACACAGACTCCCAAGTGCTGCCAATTCATCAAAATGCTTGAGTCAAGCTAGTTATTTGTAATTGGTTTACTTGAAACTTCAGCTGAGATTGTTTGAAGAACAATAACATTTCACACAATGAGAGAGGCTAAATTACAGACCCGTAGTTCGAGGGAGGGGCTCATTTCCTGGTTTAAACCACTCCGAGGTGGTGAAGCACAGTTATATATTCCTGTCTGTGTGCTGCAGTCGGACAGAGAGGTGAGGAGGTTAGGCTGGGTGGACACTGTGACTTTTTCACTCGTAGCACTCAGCTTCAGCTCAAACTGTACGACTTCCTCGCCGGGCAGATCTCACGAGTCATGTGCTCACACTGCACGACCCAGTTCTCGGATGCGACCTGACTGCTCACACTGTACGTCTGGTAGCAACATGTCGGACCTAAAAATATGCTAAAAATAGCAGTTTTTACACAACACGTCAGACTTTTTTGTCTTGTTTTGCCTGTTGTCCTTCAGGAGTGCTGCAGGAGGACACACAGGGATTTATGGGGGGTCGGGTGAGGAAAACGAAATAAAGAAAGTAAATCTGTGTTTTGTGATCAGTTTAATTTGACATGAACACGACAAACACGCCTTCTTGACAATCTTTGTGTAAAAAAAAACGTGTAGAAATAAAAACGAACAACGTGTGTTATTAGCGAAATAGCGGGTGAGCGGTGTTGACGCATGATTGCGCATGCGCCGTGAGCGGTTCTGGTACTTTTTGCGTCGCAGCCGCTCGCTGCGCCTCTTCAACCCTCACGAGAAACAAGCAAAATATCAAAAACTCCAGAAGTCCGTGCGAGCTCACGATTGCTGATCGGTAGCTGGTCAGGTGGTGTTAATCGCCTCTCGTAACCCCCTGTACACTACACGACGCTCAGCGCAAAACTCGCCCCGATTTTTTTGATTCTCGCACGAGTGGAAAATCGGCTCAAAAAAGTGAAAAAGACGCCGAGCGTACGCCCGGCTTTAGGCTAGCATGGATGAGGAGAGAACATGAAAAGGATGATTCATCAGTATTTCATCCAGCTGAGGCCTGAGCCATCTGAAAATGACTACCAGTCCTCTGACTCCGTACCCTCCCAGGTTATGGTCTACAGACGGCGTCAGATAATGAGCTGCATACGAGCAACTTCAAGCCAGACGATCCTAAAATTAAAAGTGGCAAGTGTATGTATTTGAAAAAGAACTGCTGAAATTAAACGCAGCAATAAATGTGGTTTTTGCTTCTGGTGAAGGAGGTGGAGAGAAATCCTTCAGACTAGGGTGTGTGTGTGTTGACTCACTCTTTGTAGGGTATTTTTCAAACTAAGTGTGGGCGGAGTAAGACTCTGGTAGGGGGTGACTTGCTCTTTAACGTTGCCTTTTGCAAAAGGACTTGCCTTCATCAAGTTCAAGTTTGAAATAATTCTTCGGAGTTTATTAATATGAGAGTAAACCAGATGTCATGCTGGGCACCTGGTTTATGGGAGCGTCGCACGTGAAGTCTGGAGCCCCGGTTAGATGGCTTGTTTATAAACTAAATTAAATATAGTCAGGAAACTGACAAATGAAGATTTTAAATATACTTTTAGATGTTTTATAATTGGAGGAGCTGGTATTTGTGTTTTCCCTAAAGTACAGTTCACCTTTGCTTTTCAGGGTTCTGGGAGTGAAGAACGTCCGGATTCTCCGAGTGACAGCCTAGATGGGATAAAGAAGAGCGAACGGAAGAAAGAGTTTGTCTGTCAGGTAGTTTTGTTGTTTCAGTTTGTCTTCAGACTTCTGTGGTGGTTCTCTGGTGTCACTCTCACACGCACACTGGCGGGTATGTGTTTTCTACAGATGTGTGAGAAAGCCGGTGAGGACATGGTGTCGTGTGAAGGCCAGTGTTGTGGGATGTTTCACCTCCACTGTTTGGGTCTGTCTCTCAAACCTGATGACAAGCTCCTCTGCCCGGAGTGCAGCTCAGGTGTGTAGAAGACGTAGCCATGAGTCTGATTGTAGCTGCAACAGGAAAACACTCCAGGTGTGTTTTGGTTCATTTCTCCAGGAGCACATTCATGTTTCATCTGCAAACAGCTGGAGGGTGAGGTTCGTCGCTGCCACGTCCCTCACTGTGGGAAGTTTTACCACGAGTCCTGTGTCCGCCTCAACCCCCTCACCATGTTTGACAATAAGGGCTTCCGCTGTCCACTCCACGCCTGCCTCAGCTGCCACTACGGCTCCCAGACCAGGCCCAAGTCTACCAAGGGTGAGAACCATAGAAAGTTCTAGTTTCAGTTTGGACTTCTGTGATGTCCTGTGGGTTAAAAGTATGGAGGGTGACTTGAATGTAGACTGGATGGAAACTAAGGGAAGGCCGATAAATGAAAAGCTCTACTTCACATTCTACTTTTAGAAACTCTAGGAAACCCCACAAACTCTCTGGACTTATCTGGAGTCTAGAAACTTCTAATCAAGATCAGCTGTTGGATGCATTGGCCCTCTACTATCTGCTGTAAGTTTTGCTGACGTACCCTGGTCTGGTGTGTTCTGACTCTCCGCTCTGCAGGCCGGTTGATGCGTTGCCTTAGGTGCCCTGTAGCGTACCATGTGGGTGACCTGTGTGTAGCTGCTGGGAGTGAGATGATCACAAACACAGCTATCATCTGCACCAACCACTTTAATGCCAAGAAGAGCTACAGTCACCACAGCCACGTCAACGTCAGCTGGTGCTTCGTCTGCTCCAAAGGTTGGTCACCTTGGGGGTGGGGGGTGTCATTACTCATGGTCCTTTTAGGGTGTGGGTTTGATTAAAGGCTAAGTTTTACAGTAAGAATGAGCTGCTTGATACAGCAACATAAAAAGCAATTTTGAGAGCAGTCAGGTTAAAGAGGTCATGGTATTTTGTAGCTGACTTTATTCACTAACCGGAGTAAGATCTGCTCTGAGGGAACAGCAGAGCTACTCTGACACAATACTCATGTTCTTTTTACATCTTGAATGTTGCTTTGAGTTGAGTTTTGCTGCAGCGCTTAAGTCGCACTCTAAAGATGGAAAGTCACTTTGTCAGATTCTAGAAACATTCTTTATTTCAGGGGATCTGATCTAACACATCAGCAGCAACCCCTGCTTTAGTTTTGTTTACATGACACGTCCAGGTCAACATGGATTAAAGCTTTTACGTGGTGTTCAACAAATCTATTTAATAATGTCTCTAGTTTTAAAGCAACACTAAAGAGTTTCCCACATCTCCCTCCTACTGGTTGAAAGTGGAATTACAAGCCACGCACAGCCTCCTGTAGCTAGCACGAACAACAAGCTAACATGAGTCCACTAATACTAAATATTAGAGTTGCAGATTCACATCCAAATTGTGATTCCTACTTATAAAGATTCAGAGTCGATTCATAAAAGTCTAGAATCGATCCTTTCGGAAAGCCTTTATGTATGCTGCCGTGCTTCCGAGCATCCCTGAACGCATCTTCGCTGGAGCTGGTGTAGGTACCGGGTCTGCTCGGGGGTCCTGCGCCTCCCAGTGACATCATGCTAGATGACTTGCTGAACATAGGAATTACAGAAGTTACGATGCAGCGTTCGTAAAAGTTACTTTAGCGTGTTGACAATGAAGATTTTGATTGGTCCGAACAAATTTGTGGTTGTAGTCCTGTAGCCCAAAAAAAACCCACTATTCCGGGAAATGTTAGTATTGCCAAAGGACATAAAACTAAAAATGTCAACTGATTAACTGAGACCCTCAGCAGCTCTTGATTTTGATGAAATGGGGAAAATGAAGATAAAATAATTTTTGTGAACAAATAACAAGCAAAGTTTTGAATGCGTGAATGGATTTATTTACAAAAGAACTGACAAAACATACAGAAGAATTCCACATTTATACAAACAGAAATGGCTGCTAATTATGTAAATGCATTTAAAAACATTCACATACAGCGGGTACGGAAAGTATTCAGACCCCTGTCAATTTTTCACTCTTTGTTATATTGCAGACTTTTGCTAAAATCAATTAAACTCATTTTGTTTCCTCTTTAAGGTACACACGGCACCCCATATTGACAGAAAAACACATTACTTTAGACATTTCTGCAGATTTATTAAAAAGGACAAACTAAAACATCACATGGTCCTAAGTATTCAGACCTTTTGTTCAGTATTTAGTAGAAACACCCTTTTGAGCTGATACAGCCATGAGTCTTCTTGGTAAAGATGCAACAAGTTTCTTACGCCTGGATTTGGGGATCCTCCATTCCTCCTTGCAGATCCTCTCCAGCTCTGTCAGGTTTGATGGTGAACGTTGGTGGACAGCCATCTTTAGGTCTCTCCAGAGATGCTCAACTGGGTTTAAGTCAGGGCTCTGGCTGGGCCACCCCTTTGTTATTTTAGCTGTGTGCTTAGGGTCATTGTCATGTTGGAAGGTAAACCTTCAGCCCAGTCTGAGGTCTTGGGTACTCTGGAGAAGGTTCTTGTCCAGGATATCCGTGTATTCTGCCGCATTCATCGTTCCCTTGATTGCAACCAGTCGTCCTGTCCCTGCAGCTGAAAAACACCCCCACAGGATGATTAAGCTCCGTTTGGCAGGACGGCCTGCTCTAGGAAAGGTTCAGATTGTCCCAAACATCTTCCATTTAAGGATTATGGAGGCCACTGTTCTCTTAGGAACCTTTAGTGCATCAGAGATGTTTTATAACCTTGACCAGATCTGTGCCTTGCCACAATTCTGTCTCTGAGCTCTTCAGGCAGTTCCTTTGACCTCATGATTCTCATTTGCTCTGACATGCATTGCGAGCTGTAAAGCTTGGTTTATGCTTGAAGCATTCACTTTCCGCTTGGTGATGCGGCTCGCGGATGGAACGCGCTTCACAACTTGCACCGTTTATGGTTTATGTGGCTCGTCTCTGCGGTGAGCCAATATTCTCCCAAACTGAACGGGGCAGCATGGAGCTCTACGGCAACACTACACCATAGTAGAAGTAAAAATGACTGTTCACAACATGGCATTCCAGCATTTTTAACAGCGTCCTCGTCTTTTCCGACAGTGCGAGCTATTTCTCTCCAAGAATTATTAACAACATGTTGATCACGGCGATCTCTGAGAGCTGAATCATACAAATGTCTGTATTTATGAACCTCTGCCATACTAGTTCTTGCCAGTCCGCCATGTTTTTCTGCTTCCGACCGTCCGCGTGGTTAGAAATTTTCCTAGGTGCGTGTTGTGGAAATTTTGGGCTGTGCGGAGACGCGGTGGAGGGGCGTGGTTGTTAAAATGACGCCATTTCGCCACGCGGAGCCGTGCGGACCTCGCGGACGCGTCAAGCATAAACCAACCTTAAGGTGTTTTATTTGTGTGTGGCTTTCCTAATCAAGTCAAATCAGCATAATCACACACAGCTGGACTCCAATTAAGTTGGAGGACCATCTCAAGGATGATCAGAAGAAATGGAAAGCACCTGAGTTAAATATGAGTCACAGCAAAGGGTCTGAATACTTAAGACACTGTCATATTTCAGCTTGTCTTGAATAAATCTGCATACATTTCTAAAATTCTGTGTTTTTCTGTCAGTATGGGGTGCAGTGTGTGCATTAATGAGGAAACAAATGAATTTAATTGATTTTAGTAAATGGAAGCAATATAGCAAAGAGTGGAAAATTTGTCTGAATACTTTCCGTACCCGCTGTATAAGAACTGTTGTGCTTTTTTGACAAGTCTAATGTTTCACATTCTTTAAAAAATGAAGACAATATAATGTTTTATTAACAAATTACAATTATAAAGAACTCTCTCCCCCTGAGATCAGAGGACTCAGTGGTCTCCTTTTAAAAGCAGCAGAAAACTCACCTGTTCAGGCTTTTGTGTGACCTTCATCACCACCCTCTCCTTATTCTGCTCTTTATACCAACTCTGCCTTTACTGGGATCCACTGATTTCCCTCTTTCTTATTTATTTTCTCTTTCCCTTTCCTCACATTTTCTTTTATTAACCACATTTTTTTCAGATTTTAACCACATTTGTAAAAACAATATCACCATATATTGAGGATTTCACCTCGATAACAATAAATGGACGGTAACTAAAGGTATGCGCAGAAACAAAAGTTGTCCACTAGATGGGGCTGTCGCATGTATTACATTTAGTCACATTTTTACGTGACTCAAAGTGGTACAGCTTCTTAAAGGGACATAAATGTTAGAATGTCATCACACAAACATGCACATAGGACCTTGGGGGGGTAGGCAAATCAGGGGTGCAGGTATGGATCCTATTTCCGTATTCCTGTGGCAGCCTGCTCCCCAATTTAATTTGCACATTAAACACTTCCACCAACGACATTCCACGCAAACACACACTTAAGGTCTTGGGAGTGAGCACACAACGGCATTTGGCATGGGGATCCTGAGTGCCGGTGCCCACTTCCAATTTTAAACTGCACTTAGACACAGGGCTATGGGGGGAAGTGGGGCTGTATGGTTGCATCAGGTGGCGAAGGACAAATTGATCTGTTAAAAAGTCTCTGAAATATTTGAACACATTAGTAAATACACTATCCTGTATGATGAGTGTCATTGTGGCAGGATACCACAGAAAAGTGCTACACCGTCTGTTGTTCTGGCAGGGAATTGTTTCGCAACGCTTCGCTGCCTGCGCTGAAGTTTGCATGTAAAAACCTTTCCGACACTCCGTGTGCGTCTCTCCGTTGCAGAGCTCACGAAGAAGAATAAATCAGGCTTTAGCCTCCTTTAAGCTCCCTCAAACTAGTGTAGGCTGTGCCGATGTTCACTCTGGGTTTAGCTCTTTGCTTCGCCTCTAAAGACATTACTTTCTTACTTTTACTTCCAGGCTCCGCTATGATGCCAACAAAAAAAAGCAAAGTTATTCTTTTTCTTTCTCCTTCTGTCAGGAATCTTCGCATGACCTTTGACCCAGCTCTCACCCTGGATTCTCATGTCCGTTCTCTTGTTCGCTCTTCCTTCTTCCATCTCAGGAACATTGCTAAGCTGAGTCCCATTCTGTCCCGCTCTGAACTTGAGACGGTTATCCACTCCTTCATCTCCTCACGCTTAGACTACTGTAACTCTCTTTTCACGTGTCTGAGCAGAACCTCCCTGAACCGTCTACAGGTGGTTCAGAATGCCTTTGCTCGGCTTCTGACCAAGTCCTCCAAACACACCCACATCACCCCGCTTCTCCTCCAGCTTCATTGGCTGCCAGTCAACTTCAGGGTTCATTTCAAGACCCTGGTTCTGGTTCTATAGGGCCTTACATGGACAAGCACCATCTTACATTGGTGATCTTCTTAGTCCCTACACCCCCAGCAGGTCCCTGAGGTCCAGTGATCAAAGCCTACTGGTTGTGCAGCACCAGGCTAAAGACCAAAGGTGACTGATCATTTGCTGCTGTGGCCCCCAGACTCTGGAACTCTCTCCCCCTGAGCCTGAGATCAGTGAACTCAGTGAACTCCTTCAAAAAACAGCTGAAGACTCACTTGTTCAAGCTGGCTTTTGTATGACCTTCTTCACCCTCTCTCTTTATTCTGCTCTCCCCACCTATTCCACCTTCCTCAGGATCCACTGATTTCCCTCTTTCCTGTTCACTCTCTCTCTTTCTTAACATTTTTTTAATCACAATTGTCTATTTTTTGCTCATTTTAAATATATTTTAACCATTTTCTAAATTTTTTTAAATATTTTTACATTTTTTGTTTTTGTGAAGCGCCTCGTGATTTTTATCTTGAGAGGCGCTATAGACAAGATATTTTCTTCGTCGTTGATGATGATGATGATGATACATCACAGACACATTTTTTTAATTTGGCTTTTGGTCAATGATCGGTCTTTTGTGCTGTGACTCTTCTGTTTTACTGACTTCTGTTTTTATTGACTTCTCTTTTATTGGCTGTTTTATACATTTGTATTGTTTTTATGTGTTTCTATTTTATGACAGCTTTTATCTGTGTTTAATGTGTATGTATGTGTATTTGAGTGGCTTTTTAGGTTTAACTCTGTGCAGTGCTTTGGTCAGCTGACATGCTGTTTTTAAATGCGCTATATAAATAAAATTGGATTGGATGATGATGATGATGATGATGATGACAGTCAGCGAACTGAAAAAGCTAACCACTAGCTTTTATATCGGCAGTGTCAGCAGCTTTTGCCGTAAAGCAGGTAGAGACCTCTCACTAGTGTTCCTACCTGAACCACAAAAGTGCTGAGTGTTGTTTCTGGTCAGAAGTGCAGTGTGACGTTGCTCAAGTGGACGCCTCAATAACCACTGAAACCAGTTGTTTTGGGCGTTCGACCCTGAATGCCCAAAACTTACCACGCGGGTTTCTAACCACCTCTAACTCACTGACTGAAGCGAGTTAGTTATCCCAGACAGCGTAGCAGCTGTCTCATTAACAGACCTTTGGTGTGAATCACATGAATGTGCCTTGCAGGAGGACAGCTGTTGTGCTGCGAGTCTTGTCCTGCAGCCTTTCACCCTGACTGCCTGAACATCGCTATGCCTGATGGGAGCTGGTTTTGTAACGACTGCCAAGCTGGGAAGAAGCCAAAGTATAGAGACATCATATGGGTTAAACTGGGGACATATCGGTGAGACAAATGTATACCTGTTGTCTTCAGATGCTTAGTAGTAAATAACGAAACCACACTTTTATTTTGCTGCTCTGAACTTTTTCTCTCTAGATGGTGGCCAGCGGAGATCCACCACCCTAAAAACATTCCCACTAATATCCAGCACCTCCGACATGAGATCGGAGAGTTCCCGGTCTTCTTCTTTGGCTCTAAGGATTACTTCTGGACTCACCAGGGAAGAGTCTTTCCCTACATGGAAGGTGACCGGGGCAGCAAAAACCGGAGAAAGGGAATTGGCAAAGTCTTCAAGAATGGTAAATTCCTGCTTCCTGCCCACAAACGCTCCATCAAAAGTTATAATTCCTAACTTCCCCATAGTGCAAAGCCTCCTGAACAGCCTATGTTCAGTGAAATGGCGTTAACGACCTTCAGGATTGATGAGCTAGCAGCTAGTCAGAGGGAAGCCAAACTCAAGTGTTGCATCTTATCTTAAAACAGCTTCAGTCTCTAGAATATCACAGTGGTCAGTCTGGTATTTTACTAACATTTACCTCGGCGTTGGTTTGACCTGACCGCGTGTTTGTGTGGTGAAACACTCGTGTAGCAGCAGCAGCTAGATGGTGCACACAGAAGCATCCTGGTGTCATGTCTGGAGATGAGAATGTTTAGAGCTACAATGTTGATGAAATGTTTTTTAGAAAGAAATATGATGCTGTTTTGTGCTTCTCAAGAATTAACACAAGTATAAACATAAGAGTAACAAACTAGACATTTCAGGCTTTTTTTTTGTGCTTTTGTGCCAGTAGCTATTAGTAGTGAGGTGTTTAATTTTTTCATGAAATGATAAAACACAGAAGTTCCGATTATGACCATCATTTAATTCCTAACAAGAACAAGATGCCCCAGAAACATTTATATTGTTCTAAATCCAGTGGATTTCCAGAGTTAGCATGCTACCGCTAGCTTCTCCGTTCTGTCTCTAACACAACGTGTGTTCTCACGCATTTGCTTGATCGTGTTGCTGACAAAACGTGGTATTGGGTGGTCTCATTAGCGTGTGAATAAAAGTTTCCACGTTTAAATAAAACAATGTACTTAATAACCATCTCCTTGTTGCTCTCTCAGCTCTGTTGGAGGCCGAGGCTCGGTTTAAAGAAGTGAAGATGAAACGAGAAGCCAAGGAAGCTCAAGAGATCAGCCGAAAACCACCTCCTTACAAATTTATCAAGGTGTGAAATAAGTTATCAAACAACGCTGACATGCAGTTGAACAGAAGCTGTAAGTGATCATCATAATAAACACAATTGTTGCTTTTTGTTTAGAGTTCTGCTGCCTTTATGTGTTTCAGGTGAACAGGCCTTTCGGCAGGGTGCAGGTCTACACCGCAGATGTGTCTGAGATTCCTAAGTGTAACTGCAAACCGGCGGATGAGCGGCCATGTGGGTTTGAGTCTGAGTGTCTGAACCGCATGCTGCAGTACGAATGCCACCCTCAGGTGTGTCCCAGCGGGGAGCGCTGCTGTAACCAGGACTTCACTAAGCGCCTCTACCCAGAAACCAAGATCATTAAGACTCCTGGGAAGGGCTGGGGTCTCATCTCCCTGAGGGACGTTAAGAAGGTGAGACAAGAGATGATCATCCTGCCCAGTAAGCGATGCCACCTGTTTGAGTCAGGGTCATGGCACTCCAGATATCTCCAGGGTTAGGTAACGGTTTTAGGTTTTACACAATAAGTTCTATTTACCTCTTATTTCCTGTCTTCTGATCTGAAGGTCACTGGAAGGTTTGGAAAACGCTTGAATTATAACAAACTGGTTTTAGCACAAAGAGGCTAATGAGACATGGTGCAGTAAATATTGTTTTCAGCATTAATTTACCTTTTATTGTGAGCTTATTTCAAGTTGAAAATGATAATAAAAAAAATACAACTGAATTCAGAATAAAAGGGTAAAATAAACCAGGTTCAGTTGGTCAGCTCAGAGTCAAACACGAGCTAGCTTAGAAACCGGAGCGCTAATATGGAGCCACTTCATAATCTGCAGCAGCTTGACTCAGGGTGGAGGTGTCTGCTCCGCCTCATGGCTGCTTCCTGGTCACCTCCATCCATCTTTTCCTCAACAGGGAGAGTTTGTGAACGAGTACATTGGAGAGCTGATCGACGAGGAAGAGTGCAGAGCAAGAATCAAGTCTGCTCATGAAAACAACATCACCAACTTCTACATGCTCACCATTGATAAGGTGAGATGTGGCCCTGTCTGTGCTGTGAACGGCTGAGGAGGTGGTTGCTCTGCAGTGTATCGGGGTGCTGTCTTCAGCTGCAGTGCCTTTTCTACTGGGAGCTACAGAAACAAACTGGTATTGCATTGGGAGTGCTACACAGCAGCTGTATCACTACAGTTGTCAATACTACAAAGACCAGCTAAATCCTGCCTGCTGATTCTCTTATGGTCATAAAAGTGGCAACAAGCTAGACTGTTGTAATAAACATCCTCTTGGGAGCGTAGAATGACTCAGCATTTCTTCTGTTTAAGGACCGAATCATTGACGCCGGTCCCAAAGGAAACTACTCCCGCTTCATGAACCACAGCTGTCAGCCCAACTGTGAGACGCAGAAGTGGACGGTGAACGGAGACACTCGAGTTGGCTTGTTTGCAGTCTGTGACATACCAGCGGGTAAGTCGCTAGCGGGGTCCTACGCTTGGAATACGTACAGATCTGATTAAATCCCAAAAGATGTTGATAAAAACCAAAATCTGAGGTTTTTACAACACACACCGGTGTGTTGCTGCTTTGTTTGTATTTAACACGTGCTCATATTTATTGGGTGTGTGTTGAAGTTTAAACTCGTCCATGTTAACAGGTGTGTTTTAAGGTTGGGCGATGGGACGAATTAATCGACCATCTGCGATGGGCTGAGCCATTACGGGTGTTTTTTACAGGAGGCTATTTGTTTATTTTTTCGTTTGTTATTGATGAATATTTTACACGCTACGCACAGCGAACATCGCAGAGGTAACGATCAAGAAAGGATCCCCATCAGCGCATCTGAGCCTTTGCTCACCTCTGCCTCTGGCTGTTGACAGTGCACGCGCAAGCGGCACGCTGAGGACAGGCTCGCAAAGCGTCTGTGACACACTCGACATCATGCACTACAGCGCGGCGTTGAGTGGAAACCCTTCTATCTTTCAGAGTCTGGAAGACTTCTGGTTATTTCAGTTGGAGAAATGTTTCCTGATCTAAAACCTTGACTGAAGTAGCGCTCGTCGTTATTCAGCGCCTGCTTCGAGTGTGTCAGCAGAGCACGGATCCATCCAGAACATTATTTAAACCGCCACGAGTCTGTCTGAGGCACACGTCTAGAAGCTCATGACCTCTTCAGCAAGCTCCCTAGACACATTTGATGGCACACAAGCTGCAGGCGACCAGTTCAGGTTTACGCGGCGCAGGAGGAATGTGCGTTCGAGCTGCAGCAGGTGAACTGTTCCCAATTTAAGTGAAATCTTTAAACTGGGTATCCGCGGGTTCTTAAAAAGTCTTAAATTAGCTTTTCCAAATTTAAGGTCTTAAAAATCCTTAAAAATGACAAATAATCCTTAAATATAGTTTTCAAAGGTCTTAAATTACCAAAGATCCAATAAACAAGATTCTTTTGTTTTCCTGCATTTCTAGTTAGTCTTCAGCATTTTTTGTGTATGATGGATGGATGCGTAAGCGGAACCGTACACATTCAGTTGGTTGTGAAGGGGGGCTATTTTTAGATGAGCACATTAGCTGGTTAAGCTAGTGGGAGCTTGCGCCATGGGGAAGTGCAAGTTTAATGGCAACTGGATGGCTAATCCTACGTCCGCGATGTGGCTAGCACCGGTTCCAGTCAATAGCTGGAAATTATAGCTTAAATTTAATTTTAAAAATAGCTTAAATTTGGTCTAAGTGACCTTAAAAAAGGTCTTAAAAAGTCTTAAATTTGGCTCCCTTAAACCTGCAGATACCCTGTTGAATTGTATTGTTCGAGTTACTGGGGCATTCTGATCAGCTTGGTTGGACTAAATATTATTTAAAATGAATGGAAATTTAATGAATGATTATTCATAATTTAAAAGATGAAAGTGACGGGGATAAATGGATCATGTGACCTCTGGCAGCCAGCTTCCTCCTCAGAGTGCGTCCAAACGCAGCAGCGATTCCTTCCATCCCCCACTTATAAAAGAAAGACACCAGAAGTTTTTGTTCAGAAAGAAACATTTAGCTTAAATAAAATACCACAACAGTGGGCACCACAGGGAAGCAAAGACGAGGATTCGTTTTAATATTTTAACCGTGTTTATACGTCACTCTACCAAACTACAAATACAAAATTAAACAAAAAGAAAATTATAAATTTCTCTTCTGCTTGTATAAAAAAAATCTGTTTTGGGCTTCTTCTGTGTTAAATCAGGCCATACGTCATGACGTCACATGCACGAATAAATCGTCCGTCGTCTTTTTTTGGACTGACGATTGGCGGTGGGAAAAACACAAATCGCCCAACCCTAGTGTGTTTGATCGTAAGCGGCTGTTTTGTGTTGCAGGAACCGAGCTCACCTTTAACTACAACCTGGACTGTCTTGGTAACGAGAAGACCGTCTGTCGCTGCGACGCTCCCAACTGCAGCGGTTTCCTTGGAGATCGACCGAAGGTTAGAGATGATGATGTGTCTGTTTTGTACTCCGATGGGATTAGCAGGATCAGGTTCTAGTTTCGTCTGAGCTCCAGGTAGAGGAATCAAACGGTTCTGGTTCTGTTGGGTCGGTTTAACCATCGTTGGTTCTGTTTCGCAGAACTCAAACGGTCAAACAGCGGAGCCAAAGGCAAAGAGGTTAAAGAGGAAGCATAAGAGGAAGAAAAGTGAAGGGAAGAAGATATCTGAGGACGATTGTTTCCGCTGTGGAGATGGAGGACAGCTGGTGCTCTGTGACAAGAAGACGTGCACCAAAGCCTATCACCTGACCTGCCTGAATCTCACCAAAAGACCTTTTGGTGAGATAAACACCACATGCTGATCTACAGATTTAGCATTTTGCTAGATCATGAATGCTATCGGGACTTCTTTGAAGAAGACTGTAGACTGAACTTCCCAGAACAGCCTTTGTCTGACTGACTGGAAAATGTTTATTTGTTGGTACTTCAAGTGTTTTTAGTAACCGATGATATTCCACACCATAGCAGCAGCACTAAAGAGCAGCACGTTTACTAGCCTAGCATTAGCTGCTTCTTGCTAGCAGATGCTAGTATAAAGTTGCACATGAACGTTGAACTGACCTTAGATGTGTTGCTGGTTAAATTCCTTTAGTTAGAACTTGTTTACTTGATAAAACTGGTTAAACAAGTCCAGCTGACTTCTGTTTCACTTGGACATGACGCCCTGTGAAGGCCCTTCACAATAAGAGCCCCACACACACTTATTTTATAAGTCAAATGTAGTGATACATACAAGTCTGTTCCGCAGTGAGGCGATGGTAGACCGTTTTTGTAGACCAGAGACGCTCTATATGTTTTAAACCTCTCCTTGTGTGTGTGTGTGTGTGGTCGTGTGTGTGTGGTCGTGTGGTCCTGCAGGCCGCTGGGACTGCCCCTGGCACCACTGTGACATCTGTGGGAAAAACTCCGAGGCATTCTGCCATCTCTGCCCAAACTCCTTCTGTAAGGTGCACCAGGAGGGGGTCCTGCGTCCCTGGCCCCCCACAGGGCAGCTGTGCTGTATGGAGCATGAGGATCCGGAGGGAACTGCCCACCAGGCCCAGGTCTTTAGCTCTGAGATGAAGGCCACAGCTGCCACGACAGGTACCGTCACCGGCCGCGCCAAAGCCTCCAGGAAACCACCGGCAACCAAAGGCTCCAAGAATAAAGCCGCTGTGGTCTGAAGGAACCTTCCAGAGAGCCAAACTGGACTTTACACTTTAGTCACACTGGGGCCCCACGCATCTTCATCATCATCACTAGAGAAAGCTGTTGATCTCTCACACCCAACTCTACCTTTACATTTAACACTTCCAAGTCTTTGTTGACCCAAAACATCAGTTGGAAACTTTTCTGGATTCTGACTTCTAACAAACGGCATTTTGGTTGAGTTATTTTTAGATCCTAGAACAAAAGACACCAGAGTTCCTCAGCTGCCTCGCCCTGTCAGCTCTTACCGACACGGATCATCTGCTGCTCCAGTGTCATCCAAAAGGCCTCGTCTGTGTACGGGAGCAGCAGTGTGATCAGAAGGGTTTCATCTGTCATGTATTCTATGTAAACAGACACTATGGGGCGGCCCCACCTGTAGCCATAGATCACCTGTAAATGTAGACGTTAGTTTACAAACCAGTCTTGTTTTAGCACCCTTGTATTTGAAGGCTTTTCGTTTGTTTGTTTTTCATCTAATCCTAAATAAACAGCAACAAACCATTTCCACAGGAGTTGGATGGAAACAGCTGGTCACACACTAAAACACAGTTTCTGAGGTAAATTGTGAAATCAGGTAAATTCCCAGCCAGTCTGGCGACTTGACGTCCAGCCGCCGTGTCTGAATCCTGAGATTGTTCAGATGTCCTCCGAAGTCTGGGAATGTCCTCATGTGGTCAACCAGAGACCTGTTGGACTCACCTGGTCATCTCAGATTTACTTTGAGACGATTAGTGACCTCTGACCCCTGTAAAAGAAACCAATAGGAGTTTCCAGTTGAGAAATGAAGGAAGGTTTTTTAGGGAGCTTCACAGAGAAATCAGGTTATTTTTATTTTTTTCAGAATGTTTCATCTAGACGGTGCTCCAGACTTGGTCTGTTAATACCTGTCTCCATCTGTAAGCCTCAGTCACCAGGAGCCTGTCTTGGAGGGTGGGGGTAGTCAGACACTAAGGTAAACCTGGTCTGGAGACAGTTTCTGCTGTAGGACAGACTCTGTCCAGACCGAACCCCCAACCGTTTATTTCCTTATTTAATCTGATCTGGCGTTCGGCTCCTGACCCCGTGAGCGTGAACATGCACGTTTGATTTAGGATTTTCTGTGTACCATTCTGTAATTCTAACCCTGTTGAGTGAATGTAGTCCAGCGTTTGTAAGCACTGTAACCCCGTAGAGCTGAGGTGTCGTGTAGCGGTTCCCTCCTGTAACTACTGTCGTAGCAAACAGACTAATGTGTACATACTGTATAAGTACTAATAGTGATTCAGGTTTTGTAAATAATACAATTTCTTTACCCTCGTTTTTATTTTTTGTTCATGCAGTGCTGAAACACGTGCAGGATCTCACATCAGTTGAATCACGCAATAAAGTAATTGAATATCTCCTGCCTGCTGTTTTCTGATGAACCTTTTCGTTTTGGATTCATTTATTGGCTGCTTTACTGATTTAATTATGGAAGTCGTGTTTGGAAAATTATGGCCAGTTTAGACGAGTCAAGTTTCAGTTTTCACATCGGATTGTGTAAATGAATCTTGGAGGGACTTAATCCTAGAGCAGGGGTGTTTAATCCCAGGCCTGGAGGGCTGGTAGCTAGCACTTTTGTGGCTTCTCTAATGCGACACACTTGATTCAATGGTTGAGTCACCAGTGCAGCAGCTCATCAGGCTCTGCAGACGCCTGTTAATCACCTGCTGATTAAAATCAGGTGTGTTTAAACGGATTAAAACTAAAACGTGCTGAAAACCAGATCTACAGGCCAGGAAATACCCCCGGACCCATCAGACGACAGATGGAGGTCATCTTGCTGCAAACACTGTAGGATGTCAGCTTTTCTCATCTCCAGATTCAGCCGTCACCTGTCCGGTCTGCTATCCACCGAGGGATTAGAGACTTTAGCAAGTCGGTCTTCTGCAGAAACTACCCGGTGACTACAGTTCCCGCACAGTCCTACCAGATGTTTATTCTCAGCAGTCTTGTCCCTTCTTGTGAGTGAGTGGTTTGTAGGTCTGTTGGACCTGTCCCGGTGTAACCCCGCCCCTCAGTGACCTCTGGAGACAGAGCTGGTTTTAGAGTTTTATTTGTCTGCAGAACCTCCAAAAATTAATTTTGCATAACAGTAGATCAGTGTCCGAGTACAAAACACCTGCTTAGTTTCTGTGTAAAAATATGCTCTCATACATCAAACCTGTGCCCCCACTCCCCCGCTCATAGTGCAAATGCTTCAGATCTGTGAGGCACATGATGGATACGATGGAGTTCACTTCCTGTTTCGCAGGAAGCTGAAGGACAGAATCAGCCAGACTGTGTCCAGATGAATGACGTAAGTGCAGCTGACGTATTAATACTTAATGACGCCGTCAGCTTATTTATGGTCCCAGGCGACGACCGCTCCTCGCTAGTGAACATCTCAGAGAGCTTCAGGTGGCAACTTGACATTTTTCAATCTAGAAGGGAAAATAAATAAAAACTAGCAGAAAACAAGATACAAAAATAAATACGGACTCTGTTTTAATCCAGCTGTTTGAGGCTTTCTGGAGGAAAGTGAAGATGCTCGGAGGGTCTGTCGTTCTTTTCCGACAGACGCTGTGCAGCTCGTTCTGGAAGAGTTCTGGTGTCATCAGGAAGCCAGCACGCCGCGGCGGATGATGTCAGAGCCGTACTGGCGCCCTAGCGTCGGGTCGCCCCGCAGCTCGTAGGAGTGGCACTGTTTGAGGCAGGGCTCCAGCTCGTCGTCACCCCCTCTGGAGGTGGGGCTGAACCCGTCGTTCTCAGTGCCGGTCCGGAGTCGTGTTCTGGGGTAAGACGGCTCGGGCGGGTTGGTGAACGGTCTGAAAAGTTCTTCCTCCTTTGACATGGCGCCCAGCGGTTTCTCGCTCCTCTTGGGAATCCTGAACTTGCCCCAGCCCTTCAGGTGCCGGGCCACGGGTCTGCTGGCCGTGTCGGGGGCTTTCCGGAGCCAGCTGTTGGTTCTGGACACAGCCGAGACGTCTGGAACCACGCTGTTTCTGGTAACTTTAGTGTCCGAGGTCACGTCCACACAAACTGAACTTCTTTTGGTCATTCCGTTGTTAATGAAGTGTTTGTCTAAATCCGAGTTCCTGATGTCGATCAGCCTGATGGACACGGTCTTCTCCAGATGTTTGGAGCCCAGCTTGTTCTTCACCTGACAGAAGCTTTCGGAGACATTGTTCTTCTTCCCTCTCTCCTCCCGCTGCTCCTCCCGTCTCACCAGAACTTTGTGTTCTGGTGCCGGGACGTCCGGCCTCGGACTCTTCTTGCTCTCGAGTCTGTGCAGCTTGATGGCAACAGTTTCAAGAAGGACGTGTGGCTTCTGAAACTTCTGAAGGGAGGTTTGCTGGTTGGCGACAGACTTTTGGACTTTTCCATCACCTGCGGGTTCTGCAGGGCCAGATGGTTTGACGCTGGAGCTTCTGCTGTCCTTCATCTCCAGCAGCTTACTCTGATTGTCCTTCTTAAGTATGTCCGATGAGTCTGAGGGGGTTTTACTGTCTTTCTTCCGTTTTTCCTGCTTCAGAAGACCTCGTTTGGCTTTCAGTCCTGAGTGTCCCACGGAGGAGCCGGACAGGGAGTCCTGAGAGGATAAACATCCAAGAGAGAGCAGGTTCTCCAGATCCTTGGATGAGGGATCACCTGAAACACAGACAGGATGTTCTAAACCGGAAAGAGCAAACAGAACAAGAGGCGACGACCCGTTAGACACTGGTCTAGTGACCGAGACCAGACTGGACTCACCGTTCAGCAGCTCGTGGTCCAGCAGCTTGACTTGGTGCTGGAAAATCTGCTCGTGGACTTTACACAAAGACCGCTTTATCTTCTCCCTCCGGGTCACCATGTAGGTCAGGTTCCGGACCTGAGGAGCAACGGCAGGAAAATGCTGAGTCGGATTCTGACCGCGTTAACCTGGTAAAGATCAGCCTCCAGCCGAGGAGCGGACAGGAAAACATCTAAACCCGCTGAACTCTGTGTGGATCTGAGATCTCAGATGTCCACGTCTTAAGCAGCTAAAAACAAAATAATGTGTAATTTACAGTGAAGACGGGTGCTGTGATGGTTTTCTGTCTGAACCCAGCCTTACAGCAAACACACCACATGCTGACTCCTCCAGGAGGAACCTACCCTCTCCAGGTCTTGGCGGAGGTGTGTGAAGAGCTGAAGGCGTCTCAGCAGCACCTCGTGCTCGTGGCGTGCCAGGCTCTCCTCTTCGTCCTTCTTGGGCATGAGAAAGGGCTGGTTAAAGTTGACTTTACGTTTCAGTTTCCAGTACTGGTAAAGAAAGTCCACCAGCTCCAGAGACAGCTTCAGATTTCTGGCCACCTCCTCCACCCCTGCAAACTGGTAGAACTCCTCCTCCATCTCCTGGACCTTCAGCTTGCGAAGGTTGACCCTCTTCTCCTGCTGGAGGCTGCTGAGCTCCTCTTCTCTGGATGTCCTTCCTCTTCTGTCTCTGGTCCCGTCTTCAACTCCTGGATCTCCGTTCCTGGGCTCAGGGCCTTCCAACCCCGAGTGTTTGGGACAGAACGACTTGAACTTCACCTCGTCTTCCTCGGTGAGGATGGTGTTCATCTCCAGGCTGGCTTGGAGGCCACATGTCACATGGAACGCAGTCCGGCAGTTTTTAGCAGAACACTGAAGAAGAAAAGCATCAAAGTCCAGATTTTAGGTTTTAAAACATGAAACGGTCAAAATTTCCCTCCACAAGTTCATCATGTAAACAACCCTGAGTTTCTGTGGGACTGATCCGGGTTCAGCCCCAAACCATCAGCTGGACTCTGCAGTCACACGAGGGTCCAGATCAGATAAGACCAGATCCTCCCAATCTGAGCCCTACAGAACCAAACCCAGTGTTGGTGTGGGTGTGAAACTCGTTTAGCTCAGACCTGGATGCAGGCGCCGGTCTTCTCTTTGCACAAGCAGCAGATCAGAGCCCATCTGTTGGTGGGAATGTGGGAGATGTTGGTGATCGGCTCCATTTTCTCTGGACTCCCGATGCTCACCTGCAGCAGAACCAACAGAACGGGTCAGTAAAACCGGATCGTAGCTCACGAGTCGGAGCAGGAACGCGATCAGAGACCGAACCTCTGGGATCCACAAGGCACAGCTGACGTGGACCCACTTGGTTCCGCTTCGAGTCGGCTTCATGGCTCCGCCCTTCTTAGGACACAGCTGACACTTTGGGAGGATGCCGAGAGCGCAGATCCGACACAGCCAGCTGCCTGTTGGAACCTTCTGGATCCCGTAGCACGCCTGAACACACCAGACACATTAACCATTAACTCCACCCTAACACCACCCTCACGCAGTCCTAACCATCTGCTGACCTGATGAACACAGATGTTACACTTGTCGCAGAAGACCATCTCGTTGTTGTCCTCTCCATCAGGGGACTGGCAGACGTCACACACCACGTCCTCGTCGTACTCGATGCCCAACCCCTCCTCCGTCTCCATCGTGTGTGTCATGTTTTCATGACAGCAGCGCTCAAACTCCTCCATCACTCGCTCCATCGTGAGCTCATCCAGCAGTGGCATGGCTGGAAAGGGAGTGACAAATAAAGTCTCCCGGACATTAAGGACTTTATTTAATCAGCTAAAACCACCAGTCCCAGTCTCACCCATCTCTGTGAACTCCTCATTTATGATCTGCAGCCAAGCCACGTCTTCCTCGTTCAGGTCGTAGCGGCACATCCCTTCTGCCAGCGTCCGGATGTCCACGTAGCCCAGCGCCTCGCTGCCAGATGTCCGGATCAACTTCTTCGGCCTGGTGAACATCACCTCCTTCCCTTTCGCTGACAGAACTCTGTGGGACAAATAGGAATTTACAGCAAACACAATTTATCAGGGAGGGACCCGACTGGTGGGCTGCAGTCCAGCGTGGTCTACCTGGCAACAGGCTGTGGGATGGACTGGGGGCTGACTGGGACCTGGACGCCCTTCTCCCACTCTTGTCTCCACGGATCAGCGAGGACATAGTAGTCCTCTGTGTTCAGCTGGTACGAGTCGTGCACTTTCATGGCCGTGATCAGGTCCGTTCTAAAAACCTGCAGCACAAGAAGTTGGTTTAAGACCAGTGTACACACACACACACACACACACACACACACACACACACACACACACAGTTTGTAGCAGGGAGGAAAACCACAAAGTTGATCAGCAAGAATTAAAGTTTAGTAAAATTATCTAAGTACTTTTATTTCCCATCAGTTATAATTTCGAGCTTTAATGAATAAAAGTGGCTTAACCAACCAATCAGAATTCCACTGGCCTACTTTTCTGGAAAATATTGATCAATTTATTATTTTATATTATGTAAACTGCTAAAAGCAGGTTGGTTCAGTAAGAGTTCCTGTAGAACCAAAGCCCACCAGCTGTAGCTCAGATAAGTAGAGAAAGGTTTGGTCCTTCTGTAGGACCTAGATAACAGATGAGAGGAAAAACAGCTGAATTAAATAAAAAGCTGATTATATATTTATGAGGTTTGGTTTTGGGAGAGGGCGATTAGTAAAGTCTCGGAGCAGACGTACCTCTGAGGGTTTCTGCCCGGTCCCCCTCCTGTGCTGGGACGAATGCTGGGACCAGCAGGTGGAGTTACCTGGTGGAGAAACATAAGGGTTACTAGTTCTCTGAAAACAAGTCGCTAAAACTGGAAAACCTAAGAACGTTTGTAGCAACGGGCTTTTTGCTAAACTTCTTTTGTTGCATGCCCACAACAGGAAGAGAGAGAGATTTTCCAGCCGTGTTCACATCTATATTCGGAACGAGTCTGAATGAGTCAGCAGAGGCAACACTGAGCTTACTTTCGTTGTCGGAGTCATCACTGCTGCTGGGGTGTCTGCTTCTCTTCATTGTGTTTTGTCTGCAAAGCTTAGACATGAGGACTCTTCGCAACACAGAAACAAAGATGTAGATTACGAAAGTGAATACAAGCGAAACAATGCAACAATAAAAAAATACATTTAACTCAAACACAAATTTAGATGATACTGTTTGGTCCAAAAGTTTACACAAGAGTTCAATCGATGTGGGTAGTTCTATTGCCGATGGCGATATGTAGAAGTCACGGTCAGCCGATTCTTTGGGCCTATTTTTAAGGCTGAATTTTCCTACCTTATTTACACACTAAGATGTCACTAATAACAGTGAAAGCACAACGTTCACTGAATTTAAGTAACAATATTAATTTTGTGTGCATCTCCGTGTTTTAATTATTTGTTTAATCAAAGTTAATCAAAGAAATGAATAACAGACACGTATTAAATATACAAAACAGGTAGGTAAATAAAATGTTAATCAACAATAATGTTTTAAAGCAAGTGTTATTCAGGAACGTAAATACACATTAAAAAATTAAATTCAGCAGCAGCAGTGGGCTGCCAGCGGAAGTGCCCGACTATATGTATAATAACTGGTAAATATCGCCCTGATATATCGGTCTATTTCAAGTTTACATCCAACAACAACCCACAAATAAACAGAAACACCACCTGCCTCCAAGGCCGCAGAGTAGCAAGAAATTACAGCCTGGACTTAAAGAGCAAGTCAACCCCTACCGGAGTCTAACTCCACTCTCACTTCCTGTTTGAAAAATGAAACAAATGCTGTTGCCTGGCAGACCGAGAAGGCGGAGCTGCTAACAAATACACACACACAGGCTCACAGCATTGTGACATCATAATGTACCAGTTTACATCATAGCATACCTCTTAGCCAATAGCGGTGGCAGACTTAAATTAAAATACAGTGCAGAGTTTTTACCTGACAACGGCACAACACTGCCAGTTTTAGGCAGAATATTTAAATTTTAACTAAGATGCACTGAAGTGCCAAATTATTCACTACACGTGTCTGCAGCACGATTAGACACTCGTTTATTTAGTTTATCAGCAAAAAAAAATTTATTTGGGGGTGACTTGCTCTTTAAATAAGATATGTGTTCCAAGCCGGATGTGTGTGTAACTAACAAAATAAAAAAAAACTTCAAAGTAATTTAAATGAGCACGTTTTTATTTAAATGTAACAACTGAAGAAATGGAAATGTTGTTTATTAAAATATGATGGTGACACCACCACATGAACCACTTATTTTTTTGAATATTATAACCGGATATTGTCATTTTAAACTCGCTTCACTTCCGGTGTTATGCCACTTTCCGTTTCCCGTTTACATAGACGCTGAAACACCAATGTTAATCTGAGCAAACGCGTTTGTATTTTGCTTCGTAAGAACCATCGGCATATAAAAATAAGAACTGGCGGCTTCCGTAGACTTCCGAAGCGGCCGTACAACGTAATCTCAACGTACACGCACACACAAAAAGTGTTGACAATTAGTAGTTTTACGTTAAGGCAGACAAAATAAAAACAGACCCCACGTTTGATGTTTGATAATATCAAACTGATATGATAGGTCAAAGAAAATACAACAATAACTTACTGAAAACGGTTCATTAAATGCTGCGCTGATCACGTAGCGAATCGGCAAATCTCACCAGATAACCTAACTACCAGTAGATTCTAAACACCCGTGTCCGTGACGCCCGTGTTGGTGCAGCAAAAAGTGACGCTGAGAAAAAAAAACTACAGCGGAATCCAGAAAGCGGCTGTGTGTTCCGTTAGATAATGATGAAAAATTCCAAAAGACCCAAAATTGTTCTGAATTTGAAAGATCTCACGGTGATTGCAGCTATCGAACGCTGCTAGCCCGATAGCTGCTGCTGTGTGCATCGTCCAGGCCAACACATACCCGGCGCCTTAATGGCGTAATCATCAGATAACTACTTTCGCTTGCAGTATCGAGACACAACAAGAACCGGTATAACACAGTTCACGTCACACAACTTCACTCTAGGGGAAAAAAACTCAAAGCAAAACAAATATGCCTGGGGTTAGCAACTTCGGAGCTAGTTGGTAGCCATTGCAGACGCTGTGTCCCTTATTAAATCAGCCACTGCCGCAATCAGTCAAAAGTTAGGGGTCAGATATTAATGCATAAATCTTACACAAGTTCAATATACATCTCTGGATAAGAAATATTAATTAACATGTAAACACAAGTTGGTTTTCAGTGTGGCTAACCAGCAGTAGAGAGTGGGATGTTTACAACACGGGCTGAGGTAAACCTTTGGCGCCATTTTAAATGACGACGTCGCGTTTTCCTAGCGGACCGCTCGTGCGACCATAACGGAAACTTGCCCACCTTTCCCGATTACAAGATTTGTTTACATGTGTGCGTGTTAATAAGAACACTTGAAATAAGTTGTACAGTACGTACGAGCACGTCAGACCGATGCAAGCCGATGCTTGAGTTCGCTGTGGGGCGCAGTTTTAGCTGAGATCCGCTTGACCCGTATTCCAGAGCGGCGGTCTGGGAGGAGGTTACCAAGGGACTGCAGCTGCGCCCGGACTCCGCTAGAGGGCAGCACACTATCCCACAACCAGATCGGAGATGAGTATATTTTATTATTGCCGTGATCATAAACGTCCAAAGTATTTTACCGCCTCAGGAAAATAATGGATTTGTTTATTAAGAACCAACGGATTAACTCAAATTTATCACAATTCTTGTATTAGTGTGAATGACTCAGCTTTCCCAACACCCACTCCTTTTAGGGCAAACTGATTATTAAAGAGACAGATCATATAAAAATACCATTTATAGTTTAGGGTTTACTGCTAATAAACACTTGGTATCTTTAAAGATTCATTTAAATTATGTCAGCTGAAGAATTGTGTTTATAACATGGAGCTAAAATAGAAACGTTTCTTCTTTACACAACATTTTTCTTTCATTTAAAGTTTTGTACAAATTTACTTTTTAAATAAATATAAATGAAATGCAAATATTTGCACCATTGATTTATAAAATTTAAACACTTTTAGATTCAAATCAAGTTAATTAACCTTTAAACATATTAATTTTAACCACCTGATCGAGGAAATCAGCTTCCTGCAGTAAAAATTTTATTCTTTTAATTTAGACCTGTTATCCTTATTTAGATAGTCGTGATTTTAATTAGTGCATATCTTTTTGTGATGGCATAATTTTGAACTACAAATTATCAAAAGTATGTTAAATTATTATTTATTATAATTTTTTATGAGGTCCTAATAGCCACTTGTCAGAGGAAATTAAATGTACACCAAACAGAAGGTCTATATAATACAAAATTAATTAATTATTATGAGAATTTGTTAAATTTGTCATCTCCTTTAATCTCCTAGCAGAGCATCTCACCAGCACGGTTTAGTTATTTTGGGAAAAAAAAACTCTTTTTGATGAAAATTCATTATTTTGCTCTGAAATTTACAACTTCACCGAGTGTGATGGACTGGAGACCTGTCTAGAGCAGGGGTCCTCAATTATAATGGTCCGATGGCCACTCACAGAAAAGACCCAGAAGCAAGAGGTCCGGAGGGTGGTGGGGGGTCTGCTGTTTGGATCGCAGGCTGTGATGCACATAACACACAAGCTTGCATAATAAAGAAGGACAACACCTGTCCCCCTCCAGCTCGGCTGTGTGACTGCGCTAACCTGTCCTGTGTGACCCTCACCATGTAACCCTCATGTCCATGCTGTCTCTGGAGGAGTAGATAGGAGACAGATCTCCTGTAACTTAAAATGAACCAAAGCTTCCTTTCTCTTTAAGCTGAATTTAACATCAGTTTATCATCATGAAACAAAAGAATAAAGTGGAACAAAAACGTCTATATTTTATTTCTCTCTCCTTTTAACTTCTCCGTGTCCCTAATAAAAGAGACAGATGATTAGCTGCAGCCGCCGTCACTCACCCCGCTCGGTCCCCGGATCTCCTTATCACAGCACTCGGTCTGATTGAGCGCTTCCAGGAGAAATAATAATGAAATTATGAAAATAATAATGTGTGTTCGGAGGAGCTCTCTCTCTCTCTCTCTCTCTCTCTCTCTCTCTCTCTCTCTCTCTCTCTCTCTCTCTCTCTCTCTCTCTCTCTGTAGCTGAACGAGCGAGCGGAGCGCTCTGTGTGAAAACCTGCTCAATTAACATAATTCACGGCCCAAATCCAACAGAACCGATCGGGCTGATTCGGTTCGGGTTCGGTCCGAGGTTACAACTCCAGCGCTCAGCCCTGCAGGACCACATGGGGGTGGACCAAAGTTTCCTACCCGGTAAATGTGGAGAACACCGCGGCGCGACAGATGTGGATGTTGCGCTGGTGCCGCCGTTAAAATAACAAAACTACATTCCACTATAATTGATTATGGACGGTACTCTTCTATGATGCAGAATCGTTTATGCCCGCATCTCATGCATTGATTGTTTGATTAGTTTCCTCAGCAGCTCTATCCTACACCTCCCGGTCGCCTATCGGGGGTGGGGGGTGCACGCGGGGTTCGGGGGCCACAAATAGAGGGCTCGGCCGGACGTGGCCCGCGAGCCTATTGAGTACTGCTGGTCTAGGGTAAGGGTTAAGAGTTAGTGAGTGAATGAATTTCCAGATGTTTCAGAGTTAAATAAAGACTAAAAATCAGCTGCATCAATAAAGCCCACCACCAGGGGGCGTTTATTGGAAAAAATGTAAAACTTCATTCATCACCAACAAGAAAACACAAACCGACCCAGGCCTGTTCAGAAATCAGATTTCAGCTGCACATCTGGATGAGACACACACTAAAACAGCAAACAATTACATTTGACACTTTACTCAGTAAAAAAACAAGAATAAAAGAATACTGATAAATGGACCCAGAAATACATGCATGGTGACACTATCACACATTTCTCCTAAAGACCGTTGCAAATACTCCAATATTTTGTTTTCACTTAAAGAAGCCCAAAAAAAAAAGAGTTACTGAGTCAAGATTACATTTACAAATTAACACAACACGGAGTACAGCCAGCAGCGTGAGGACAAGAGGTCAATACATCCTCCATTAGTCTAACCCAGCATTTCCACTGGATGCGTAAGCAGCATGTAACGTAATAGAAGCATTTTACTCATGAGTTCCTTTCCCACTGGCAGCGTTTCAGAAGTGAAACGGGAGCGTCGTTGGTCCCAGTAGATAACAAAATCACAGAATAATTGCAAGGCCACGCCTGATTTCAGTAGCTAACACAATAACAAGCAAAAAGAAAGATGACAGCGTGAATCCAAAAATATTTATTTCCTTTCTTTTTACCTCGGCTACGGAGGTTTCGTAGGCGATTATGTGCATTTTTACTGGTTAAGCAACCGGAAATCCATGTTTGAATGTTTCTGACATTCAAACGTAAAGTTTGACATTGTGTTTGACTTCCTGTTTGGCCTGATTAGAACAGCAGAGTTTAATGCGTCGCACTAAAAATAGACTTCAAACACACTTCTGGGAAACTTCCAAAACGTAACGTGTCACAGCCGGTGGAAATGCTTCCATCCTCTAAAACAGCAGCCAACTGTTGCGTAATATGTTTTCTGTTCGTTACATGATGCTTATGTGTCTGGCGGAAATGCCTGGTAAATCTATAGCAGCATAACTAAAGGGATGAGCCAGGATAACCCAGAATGTCCCACAGCAGTCTAAATCTATAGCAGCATAACTAAAGGGATGAGCCAGGCTCACCCAAACTAGAATATTTATTTCAAAGGAAAGTTAGAAGCTTAGTCTTGGACAGGGATGGATGGAAACTGGAATCTGGTTCCACCAGAGAGGAGGCTGAAAAATTAAAAGCTCTACCTCACATTCTACTGTGGGAAACTCTAAGAACCAAACCTGCAGCCTGAGAGCCAGATGTTCTGGTGGGAGCATCTGGACCAAGAAGATGTCTAATAGAATAAGAAGGAGCTTCAGAGCGTTAGAAGTTAGGCTGAACCTGCAGAAATCGGATGGCAGCAGCCTTCAGCATCAGCTGGAGCTTCTAAAAGAACCTTTAGAAAATCCTGATCATAGAGAATTGTATAATATCACATCATATTATTAAGTTTTATTATGATTAATTATGGATCCCAATCCAGAAGCTCCTCTAATCCACAAGGTTTGTAAATCAGTTTTCTTTAAACGTAATCAGTAAACCCAAACAAAGCAGAACAGAACTTTGCTTCTCAGACAGAACCTCCGAGTGTTTCTGGACTCATCTGAGGGCCAGGATGGTGTCATAGGACTTTCCGGTTCTGTGGACCTGCACGTTGTGGAAGCCGGTTCTGTTGAGCAGGTGGGTGTACTCTGATGGAGAACGCTCCCGACCCTCGGCCTGGACCAGCATGTTCAGGGAGAACATCTGAGCTGAGACTGGACCTCGCTTGTTTTCAAACAGCATGGCCTCCACCAGCAGGACGCCTCCACCTACCAGGTCCAAGACCAGGAAGTGAGCACCAACCGCTGACTCAGCCCATTTAAACTGAGCTGATATAACTCACCAGGGTTACAGGTGTCATAAATACTCTTCAGCAGAGTCAGACACGTCTCCTCAGACCAGTCATGGATGATTCTGGCTAATACGTACAGATCAGCAGCAGGAATGTCTCCTGAGAAGAAATCTCCTGCAGCGTGAAGCACAAAAACATTAAGAACACACAGATGGCATGAATCAGCTGTTTAGGACTCAAAATCGCCAAGCTACTTCAAGATTCCCGGTCTGAAAAACATCCCTATCAAATGTTGGGATGGAGGAACATGAAAGGCCAATGTGAAAAAAGGTGGTCATTGTGTTTGGTTTAATGAGCTTTGAAAGAAAAAGCAAAACAAAAGACCCCCTGATGATCTTCTACATAAACACATGAGCCAAGGTGTGAGGGTGGGTGTGGGTCCTATTCAGTCAGAGTTTCGGGTGAGCTCATTGTTCCCTCTTCAGGGGGAAACTCCCACTGGGTTTGAATCTGGGACTCTCCATCATTTGACCTTAGAACTGAAGAAGCTTCTCGGATGAGAGGTGAAACGTCTTCAAGCAACTCAAAGAGGTCCAGACGCTTTTCTTTCAAAGCTCCTTAGACTACAATGTCCTGGATGACTGAGAACCTTCACAGACATTGTGTTTGGTTCAGAAACTAAACTAAAGGTGACGACTCTAGAGCAGAATTCTATTCTCAAGTCAGCTTTCTCTGCACAGCTCTTTAACTGCTCTTCACCGTGTCTGGGATCTGGAAGCAACCATCACATCTGGATAGGTCCGGAAGGACCAGGAGGACCACAGAGGGTTGAAAAATCAGCGGGTCAACAATCTTATTGGATGATTTGGTTATCATCGTAGCAGAGAGATTACTCACGTTAGCATTAGCGATTTGCCCAGCTGGATTTTATTCTGAAAAACAGAACCGGTCAGTTCTGGTTCTCTGCAACAAATCTGTCCTCCAAACCAGAATCAGTGTGTCTAGGATGACGACTCCAGACTTTCAGCTGAGGCGTTTCTGCTCGTGGTTCTGAGACAGAGCCTGATCTGAGGGCTGAATGTTTGTTGGAACCAAACTGCATTTTACTAAACAAATAAATAAATAACACCAACTATCATAAAGAATGTGGACATTGGTTCTGATGGGTGCTGCTGCTGTGGACCAGGATGGGTGAGGCTCACCAGACTGAAACTTCACAGCTTTGTTCTCCTGACAGAAATGTTTCTGAGCTGCTTCCACAACCTGCGGCAGGTCAAACACGATGACCGAGGACGAGGGGTACGCCTCCAGCATCTCACGGGCCAGAGCTCCGGTGCATCCTGGGAGTTTTACAGTAAAAAAGATTGTTAGCGCAGCAGTGTCCTATCCTGGTCCTCAAGGTCCAGCATCCTGCAAGTTTTAGAAGTTGCTCTGCTCCATCACACCTGATCACAACCAGGGGGCAGTTACAGGGTTCCATCAGGTGTGTTTGAAGCAGAGAAACATCTAGAACCTGCAGGATAGCGGCCCGACAGGACCAGGACTGTGTCAGCAGCTTCTCACCTCCAAGATCAACGATGGTTTGAAAGCTGGAGAGGTTAAACGCGGTCACAACATCGTGTCCATCAATGACCCAGGAGGAGTTCATCAGACCCATGAACTTCAGCATCTCCTCCTCAGATCTGTGAGGAAACATCTGGATCAGTCAGGATTTAAAACCAGTTAAAGCTTCTTATGCAGAAAGGGATCATAGACCTGTAGATGGTCTGGAAAACATCTCCAGACGGAGGACCAAAGGTCTTCTCATACTGGCTCTTCCCCTCCCTGCAGGACACAGAGCATTTTCATGAGGTTTGTTCAAAATCCAGGTCAGCCGGTGGGGTCCACTGACCTGATGGCGTCCCCCAGGTGGCTCCACAGGGGGTAGATGGTCTGGGACTGGTAGATGATCATGTCATGTAGAGACTTGCTGCTGCCTTTAGCCAGGTACAGGTTAGCCACATCCGAGCTGCTGTACAAAGCTGCTTCAGCAAAGAGAACCAGCACATTCAGACCCAAACGACCGCACCAGCTCTCTAGAGCTGAGGTTCTAGATCTCACAAGGTGACGTTTCAAAGTTCTATCTGAACAGTTTTGATTCTAACGAAGATTTTAGAGGACAGGGATAATTCTCCCGGGTTCTCTTGGGTCGTCTCAAGTCACTCAGGTTTTGACCTTTTTACATTGTTACATCAAAGTGGGTTTAAACGAGACGAGCCTGAACTCATCACAGTTCTACCATCTGGGTCGACGACTGTGTCTCAGACTAGAAAAGTGACGAGAACCTTCTGGACATTAGATCACAAAACTCACTTATTCTGTTGAGGACGGGTTAGAACCAAGGCAGACTAGTCCAGAACCCGTCCCTCGACATGAGCTGAATGTGGTGTCTGGATGTCCCATGAACAGCTGTGGTCCTGAAGGCAGCACCAGTTTTCCCGGATTAATGCAGCTGTTATAGAGGTTTATCCCATGTTCTCCCCTCAGCCTTTAATTTGCCATCCTGACCTGATTTTCTGGGATATTTAGAGATTATTTTAAACCATCAGAACTTCCAAAGCAGCAAACTCTTACTGATATAAAGAAATCTTTAAACATTTTAGTCTGATTCATAATGTGAGACATTAAAGGATCTCCGTGAGATTAAATGTTTGTCATAATCTTATTTTCAAGCTGAATGTTCTCCCAAACCTGCAGCTTCTGGTGTGCACACAGAATTCAAACCCAAAAGGTTTAGTAAAGTGTAAAAAAGACCAGTTATTGTGCACAGTGGGAATGATCAGAGACTAAATGTTTGTTTTATAAAAGAAAAATAGTTTCCCTAAAATCAGGAGTAAGCCTCCTCAGAATAAAGGCTGGTGGTCATCCAGTCACAGGTTGGTGTTTAGTCTGATCCAGCAGACTCTCAGAGAGGAGAAACCTCCTCACCTGTCCCATTCGTCACCTCTACCTCCAGTATCTCAATGCCCACCAGGGCGTCCAGCAGCCGCTCCATCCCGTCCATGCTGGTTCCCAGTTCCTGGGCCACCCGTTGGGCACTGAGGGCCTCCTGGGACCTCAGCAGGAGGTCAAACACTCCCAACTCGCTGGCAGAGAAGATCACCTGAAGACCGGCAGGCATCGGCAGCATCAGTGTGTGTGTGTGTGTGTGTGTGTGTGTGTGTGTGTGTGTGTGTGTGTGTGTGTGTGTGTGTGTGCAGCAGCCCCATCTGAACTTTGACCTCTTACCTTTGACACCCTGAAGCCGTTGATGTACTCCAGCAGTCTGAACGGATAGTCCAGCTCACTCTGGGACAGATGTTCTGACATCATCACCTCACCTGGTTGACCCACACACGGACTGTCCAACCGGAAGTGCGTGACAAACAGCAACACGTCTGATTCTGTAGAATTTGGAGCCGAATGCTGTCGTCAGGTCACGCCAGGGTTAGAGGAGTTGGGGGAACCGGAACCGGCCGAACAGCTGATCGATAACAAATAATAAATCTTCTGGTCCCCAAGCCGGTAAACGACCGAGAGAACCGGTTTGGGTCGACACACACCGGCGGTGTCGATCGGTCCAGTTGCAGGTTGAACCGCAGCAGCGGAGGGGGCGCTGTTGAGCTACTGGTGAGTCTCCTTTGCCCTCTGGTGAAACTCATCTTCACGATTGACAAAAAGGTATAACACTCTCATGCTCAACAATCACTGGCCACCATCAGACAGGAAGTGGCCGTAAATGTACCTGATGTCAACTCAAACTTCATCTAAAAAAACTAAATGTTGACCAAGAGCTGAACTACGGAAGCCTATTCTAGCCAGAAAGGCTGATTTACACTATGGTCAGCTCAGCCTGGCTCAGTGCATTTACATTAGTGTTGCCCATGCAGAGCCGACCGCCTGTGGTTCTTTTTGACCAGAACTAACTTTACACACACTTACCTATGCAGTGTGAGCCTGATTGACCTGGCAGTGTGCCGGTGATGTGACTTTATAGTGTTATAGAACCCAAATATATTTTATTTGTTATACTTTTGTCCACCCAGAAGAATCTGTCCTTCCTTGTAATTGACAGAATCCAGAAATCTGGTTGGGCTAGTGCAGAACGAACAAGTTCCTGGAGCCATTGTGATGTGCAGCTTCCAGCAGACGTCTCCAGAGGCCGCCCACTTTCACGTCCTGAGAAGGAATGTCAAGCAGGCCATGGGTTTAAAAATCTGTGACACACACATAAATGACACACCATGTGTCCTTTTCCATTTCATGGCAGGAATGGGCTTCCATAGACTGATACACCAGCACTAGTGATTTAGAATATCATCCTTCTGTTGTTCAGAAGTGCTTCCAAAAGTGAAACCTTTAACTCCTGTGTGCAGGAGCGGCCATATTGGGAAACTGTTGGAGCTGGAAGTCCCACCTGGCTAGAATAGTGATCTAAGGTCAGCACACACTCCCCCAAAACCTGCCTGACTCTGCATGAAGACAGTCAAACCTTAATGTGCCCCAGTGACAACACTTTTAGACACACCCGAGAGGAACTGGTCTACTTTAGGATTTCACACGGGGAACGTCACCTTTTCACCACGGAGTACTCATGCAGAACACATGAAATGATTTTCCTCTTTCACTTGTTTAAAAACAGCTGAAGGCAACATCTTTAAACATTCTCATGGAAAACAAATTACAGACATCCATCTTTTTTTAAACAAATTGATTTATTATGCAACCAAATCCCTTACACACACTCATTCACGCACGCACACACACTTAAATACATGATGTGGTGGAACTTCGGCATAGTGGACGCTGCAGTTGCACATGCTTCAGTAAAACTATAGATATATTTACAGAATAAATCATTTCTATGAAGAAAACACAAGAACGGCTCTTAGTCCCACCCCGCAGCGCTTCCAAATGCTTCTCTTTATTTTTTGGAAAACTCCCACATTTAAAAAGAGCTTAAAAAACAAACAAAACAAAAACACACATACACACTAACAATGGGGTTTTGGCCGATACGACGCAGCGTTTCATGTGTATGGAGTTTACCTACTACATAAATATGGCAGTAACACTGAGCAACTTATTTGATCTATGTACAAGGTTCATGAAGTGGGGAAATACTTCAGTGTGTGTGGACAACATATGCCTTCTTTAGGTCTGGGGGACCTGATCTAGAGAAAACCCGACACCCGTCTCTCTCTCTCAGCCTCCGTTCGACCGGTCAGCACTGACACAACAAACTAAATAAGGCACAATTAATACTTGGACCATTTTAGATAAATCTACACACTAACAGCTGGCTTGTGAGGCATGTAAACAATTAGAGTTGATTGATGTCTCATCACACTCCTGCTCGGGTTTCCAAGTCCAGTCCATCCGATGACCTCAAAACAAACCACAAGGACCTCTAACCCCCAAAACACGAGAAAGGGTTTCCCTCTATGCTACTTAACAATCACATGGGCAAACAGAAAGAACTAGTAGTGCAAACACTACAAACACAACAGGAAACGGCGACGCCACCTTCAGGCCACAGAAGCGACGCGCTAACGAGAGGAAAACGATCCAGACAATAACAGATGATCCGTAAACTCCTGAAAGCCCAACAGGTGCAGATGCTATGTGACTAAATCAAAGATAAAAGGAGAGAAGAGGCTTCCCTCTCCCACTCCAAGGATCCTCCCAGACTAATGTGTGTTTGATCGGAACATTCCCAATCCGACGGTCCACACTGGGACGAACCACTGAAGAGACTTTCAGGTCTAACGGCACTGGTCACGCTTGCCCCCCAGACACATCAGAAGATCCTCCCTAAAGGTTCCAGGTTGCTCTGTTGATGGTAACCTTCGCAGGATGAGGGGGTGGGGGGTCTGACACTCAGTCCTCCCCGGCCAAAACAGCTGCAGACACAGACAGATTCAGTGGGGCTGGAGAGCAGGGCATTATGGGTAAATGGGTGGGACAGAGCAGGAGGGGAGGAAGCCTGTTGCAGCTGCTTGGGGCTTCTGGCTTTGGTTAATGCAGTGGAAAGTGCTCAGTCGTGCTTTAGGTGGTCCTTGATGTCCTCCTCATCTGTGTATTCTGACGGTTCGTCTCCAGGCTTCAGCAACCTTCCAACATAATCGTATTTTTCTGAAAACACAACAAACGTATTTTATATATAATCAAGTTTAATAAAAGTGGCAGTGTGTTGTGTTCCTGCCACTAGGGGGCAGCACATACACACATTTCTGGGTAGTTTTACACCATATAATCGTGACTGTCGCTAGTTTAAAAAAACAATACGGTAAATGTTACCTCAGTGTGCTTGGGGTCCTGCACCTGCCGATGACATCATACTACGGAAATACCACTCGGCTAAAATGTATTGCATCCCTTTTTGATTCTGTTCTTTTACACAGATTTCAAAAAAAGTTTAGCAGTTTTGTTATTGAATTTGTGTTTCTTACTGCCTAAATATTTTTGAACGTGGTAACGTAACTTCAGGAAGTTGTACGTCTAGCCACTCATCTAATGTGACATCATCAACAGGCACAGGAGCCCAAGCCGGCCAGAAGGAAACATGGCGTCTAATATGGCGCCCCCCAAAGGCGCTAGACCCATGGACTATGCAGTTTAGACTTGATATTTTTTTGGTTATGTTACGAAGCCGCCAATACTTTTCAACTACTGGACATTTTACTCATTTCCAACATTTTGATGGACATTTCCAGAGAATAAAGGTAAAAATATACAGTTACTTTAAACTTATTTTCATTTACTGCAACCAGTAAGGGAATCTGGAGCTTTTATAATTTAGATTTGATGCTGTAATTTGAGACAACTTGTGTTGTAAACAGGATGAAGACGAGGCTCAAGGACAGTCTTACACATATTACATATTCAGTGTATTCTGTCTTTTTTCAGCCCATGTGGCAACAGCACTTGTTAGTTTAGTCTGATCTGACGCGAGATATTTCTGTTGAAACTTAAGCGGTCAGTTGGGTTACCAGGTTAAAGTACCTCAAATACCAATTCTACAATTATTCTGGTTTCAGCTTAAAGATAATAATTAACGCTCCTGTGTGAATGAGCTAAGCAGCAGCTTCACGTCTACAGGAGGACTAAAACTAGTCATTAGGGCTAGTGAGCTAAATAAAGTTAAAGAGCGTCACCCCCAAATCAACTTTTTTTCCTGATAAACTATATAAATGCGTGTCTAATCGTGCTGCAGACATGTGTAGTCAATTGTTTAGCACTTTAGTGCATTTTAGTTAAAATCTTAATTTTCTGCCTAAACGGTCAGTGTTGTGCCATTGTCAGGTAAAAATTCTGCATTTGAATTCAAATCTGTCATCGCTATTGGCTAAGAGGTACCTTAGAACGTTAGCTGGTACCATATGATGTCACAATGTCGCCGTGAGTCTGTGTGTGTGTATTTGTTAGCGGCTCCGCCATCTCAGTCTGCTAGGCAACAGCATTCGTTGCATTTTTCAAACAGGAAGTGGGAGTGGAGTAATACTCTGGTAGGGGGTGACTTGCTCTTTAACATTTATCTTCAACTAAATATATGACTTTCTTTTCTTTATTAATCTAGTTGTTTTTGTACAATTAACTAAATTAAAACAAATGAAAATACATGTTCTCTCCTTTAAAAGGAACATAATCAAACCACACTCATTTAAGTTATAATCAACATAAAAAACAAGTCAGTCAGGTTTACCAGAATTAAAATGCATACCTTTAGATGTCTCTGCAGGATCTGCATCAAAGCAGCACTCAGTGAGCAGCTTATTTATTAGCTATAAACCAAATGTAAAAGCTTACCCATGAACTGCATCTCCCATTCCCTCACACTCTCCATCTGTACAGCGCTGAGATCAGATAGGTCGTCGTATTCGTCCCTCAGGGCGTTCTTCTCTAGGCAGAATGTGGCCAGGCCCCTCGAAGCATCCCGCCCAGCAAAAATACCATAAGGGCCGTCTGAAAGGAAAAAACAACACCCGTCAATAAGACCTGAAAAAGAAGAACTCCTTCTTGTGTTTTTCCCAGAAAGAGCATCAGTATGAGCTTCACAACAAGAAGTTTGATTTGTTTATTCTGTTAATTCCTTAAACACACAACGGCTGTTTGGTGTAATTCCTTGTTTACTGAAGCTTTTAACATGTTGTTTGGTCTTAACTATAGTGAAAGCCCTCTGCTTTACTTATTTAATGAATAATTTTATGTGAAAATTTCTTACAGGAGTAGAAGGTGACGCCAGCTGGTCTGACTGAGCTCCGCACAGGTTTCACAAGCATGAAAAACATTTCATTAAAACATCTTTAGTCATGTTCAAGCCATCATCTGACTCCCACGTGAAAAATCAGAGCTTTGTTGTGGAGAAGTGAGAAAATGGTTTTAAAGATATAGTGAATCAGAGTGCTTCCCTTTCACATGATGCCTGTGTGACCACAGCAAGGCTAGTGATAGTAGTTCTCTAACAGTTTATTTTTGGAAACAAGTAAAATCGTTTCTGAAACAGTTGAGATGAAAATCTCAGCTGCCTTCCACCGAGAGCAAGAGATGGACTGATTCATTTACGGGTATGTTTAAATTACCGAGCACTAACATTACCCTGTCTGAAAATACACCAGATGAAATTAAACTTTAAATTCCGGTGATACTGAACCCAACCCACACCCAGCTCATACTGACCGGGCTTGTTATAACAGTGAGACATAAAACGTATGTACAGCTCTAGAACATGTTTAAAGTGAAAATAGCTTTTATGTTTGGTGCCAGATATCAGCAGTGATGATAAGACATCTTCCTACAAATATCTGACCCTCTCAGTCATACCAGAACTGCTCTGCGGGGACGCGTCCCCGTCCAAAGTTAGTCTCATCAGTGTAAACAAGCGGCGTGTCCAGGCTAGTTATCAACAGGATAATTGCTGCAGGCAGAGGTTAGCCAAATTATTTTTTTTTTTACAAATTCTTCTCTTCCAGTGTTAATACAACTCCACCCAAAATAATTCACTGGTTCGCGGCTCAAAGATTGAATATGTGGAAATGTTGTTATTGTAACAGCTGTCGCAGCTAGCTAGCAGCTAATTCCATTCAAACCAAACAAAGCCAGGGAGCTAAGCTAGGCTAAGCTAAAATGGAGCGGTTTGCGCTCAAATTCTGGTCCAGGGCGACTCACTGCAGACGGCAACGTGTCAGCTAACTTCGATATCAGAGCCACCCGCTCGTTGCCCGTTCACCTTTTCCATAAAACTTTTTGCCACTGGTCACGTCGAACACTTTCATGTTGACAGCCATGAGGATGCGAGGGTTCTGAAGCCCGTCATACTCCCGCAGCTGCTCCAAAGTGAAGTCCCGTCTCCGCATCTTGGGAAGTACCGAGGCCTCGTCGCCGTGGGCCGCGCCGGAGCCGAGCCGTCTACCCCACCGCCTGTATACCGCAAAACAAACAGCCACTACCAGAACCAAACTGCTGATATTCAACAACATTCCACTGAGCCCGAGCCCGTCTGGCTCCTCCGCTGTCCCCTGCCCGACCCTTGTGTCAACTGGTCCGCTCGAACTGTCTCCATCGTCCGCCATGCTGCACAGTTAGCACTACCCGCCCCTGGCCAGATGCTGCGTTCACGCTCCGTTGGAAATGGGAAGAACTCCAGCTTTGCGAGCGTGAAAATTACAAAGTCAAGGCGTTAACTACCTCCTTTAGTCGTAATAAATGAATAATTAAGTTCCAATAAATACAAATTCATAATAAAAGGTGTGTATGAGCTTTTAAAGTAGCGTTTTAACTACATGTTTTTAGGAAATGACAATATTCACACCTTTATACTTAAATATTTAGAATAAAACGTAAACATTCACGTCTTATTTAGTTACATTTACATATTGAAATCTACCACATCGTAACAAATTTGGCAGGCTTTTACCTTCATAGTTTTTTCCGTTTCACGTCAGTCTAAACTGGCATGTTCTGGCGTGAGCGGCCTGTATAAATAAATCAAATATATAGAATCTGAACATCTCACCTCAATATGATTCCCCTTTTATATGATCTCCTTATAAGGTATTGATTGGTTTTATATTTTCTTTATGCTTGTTTTATTTCCATTCTGCTGGAACATTCGGGTTTCCTGTAAAAGTTACTTAGATGAAACCTAAAAAAATACAAGACTCTGAAAATTTGTCGATTTATCCTTTTGAAAATTTTGGGACAAAGATTAAAGATGGAGCTGTAAACTGAATTATGCTGCTTCCAGGAGCTATTTTTGTAAACCCTGGGTAGATGTTTGATGCTCCTGTGAGGTCTTCAAAAACAAGATTAAACACTTAATTGCTTATGCAACTTTTGACATTCATTTTTATGAATATTTATTGAAGATTCATCTGCATCTTGTTCATCCATTGCACTTATGATACTGATGTCCCACTGTGGTTTTACCTCCAGCTGCATGTTGATATCTAAAGGTGAAAACAGTAAGTGGCTGGTGAAACCAACTAGAATTAGCAGAGCAGTAGAACAAATCACTCAAACACAACTTCATACAATCAGATGTTATTATATATATATATAGTTTTTTATTTTTTTGCATTTTACAATTCATCAAACATGCACTGCTTTATTCTGAAACACTCAAAAACACACTACTAATAAAACAAATTACTTTTAAAATCAAATGAATAATTGAATAGCAAATTATTTTCATAATATTTACATTTATCTTTTATTCTATCTCTAAAACCCATCAAGTCCAGTGAAGAAAAGTCATTTAATGGTAGTTTTGATGCTAGTTTATGCTCATAATCCCAACAGAAATATTTCATATTTTTCCTCACATTTAAAAGCAAAAGCATTAAAAACTGAAATGATCACCTAAGACTGTTCCATCAGTCAAGTCGATGCAATAGTTATATAAAACAATAAATTATGAGCTGTCTGTGGGTGGAACTAGTGGGGCTGGCTCGTTAGCTGCTTTCAAGCTAATACAAATCCAGGTTTGGTACAGGTTGTTGTTCCTGGGAGCTGTCTGCCCATGCCTGAACAAGAATTTATGGAGCAGGTTTGCTCACCATGAACGTGAAAGAGCCTCAATAAATGTCTGAATTTTATAACGACTGTTCTGGTGAGAAAATGGAACGCTGTAAAAAGATAAATGTTTGACAGAGCTGCAGCGTTTGACAGAAGTCTAAAGATGTTTGATTCTGTTCTTTATTTAGTGTCACTAGTTAGTTTGGTTTGGCTCTGCTCTAAAACACTTGACTGAATGAAGCCGACCCTCAGACACTTTAAAATCTGTTCTTTAAGTAAAAAAAAATCATTACTTTTGTATGTTTTTAATTAAACTGAGGAACGTCTGTTGGAGGAGCTTCTGTCTAATCTATGGCTGCAGCCGTCTACCTGATTGTCAAAAATGATAGAAAGCAGGATTATCTGTACTAATTAGTCATTAAACACACTCCATTCATCGTGATGAGGATTAAGGCACATGAGATTCTCCACAGCGTCTCCATCCAACACCTTCACGATTTACAGCAATCAGTTTGGCATCAGAGTCAAAAGACAAAATGCGAGGAATGCATTTTTTTTGTGTTGTTTTGTAAACATTATGAGCTCGCTGCCTATGCTTGCTGCTTTAAAGAAAAAAGCTCTGATAAAAACAATCTAATTAACACTACGTCTTTCTTCATGACCAAACGGTTTGTTTGTGAAATACGCTGAGCTGAGCTGCAGCTCCATCCACGTCAGGATCATTTCTCCTGCTTAGCACCATCCTTCCTTCCTGCTCGGCTGCTAGCCTTCTCCCTGTGGACAGGCGGGGCTTTCTGGGTGGCGTCTTTGACGGAGGAGGCTGCAGCGCTGGAGGGTTTAGAGGCCTTGGTGGGATTGGAGATAGAGTTGGAAGAATGTCGATGGCGTTCTTCATCCCTGCCTGAGGAGGAGTGATGTCTTCTCCTGCCCCCCGCCCCTCCTATTGGAGGCTGCAGACACACATTCGTCACAATACTTAAGGTCCCCAGGAAGGTTTCAGCCATCTTATCAGTTAATAATCTGGAAGCCAAGTGCGTCAGTAAATAATAGAGAAAGGCTTACCACCACCCTGAAGTCCTCCAGGTTCTTGAACTTGTGAAGATGCTCCTGCAGCTTTGGATCTATGGGCTGGTTCTTTATTTTAGAATACTTCAAAAAGGCCCAGAACTTCTCCAGGCCGTACAGCTGACCTGAGGGGAGGAGGATTAGTGTTCCACTGGGCTGAGTAACAAACATTTGGAACGAGGTGATTACCTTTCTCGAAGTCTTTAAGAGTCTCCTCTTGAAAGTCTTTGAAGAGATCCAACCTGAACCTCTTCTCCAAACCGTAGCTGTAGTATCTGAAGAGACACTCCAGCCCGTACCTGCAGGACAGACATTATCAGACACATATGATACATTCTGATTATGTTTATGAAAGTAGCTTTCGGGTCATTAAAGTGTTTCATCAGCTGTTCTCGCAGCTTTTTAGAGAGGGTGCTCGCTGCAGACCTACAAAGGCGGAGCTGCACCATAAGGTGGAGCTGCACCAGAGTCAGCCCCGCCCATTCACGCAAACTCAGTCTAGCCCACTGACTTCCGTTTTTGTTTTTCCAACTTTATCGCAAACTAAACTGACCCACATGAATTACGGCTGTTACTACTTTACAAATGTTAATGCTATGTTCTATGCTTCAATTAAACAAGATAAATATAACTTGCTACATGACAAAGCCTGAATATATCTCGAAATGAAAAGGTTTCTTTTAACGAATATCTACCCACAGCCGTTCCAAGAAAAGTGGTTTACAACAGCATCTGTGATTTACGTACGTGCCCTGGTAGTCCAGTGGCGAGATCGCTTAACTTAAGTTTTGCTTTCCCCTCAGCTGGTGTTGGTTCGATTCTCGGTGAGGTCGGCAACAATCCATTTAGCCAGCTGAAACATTTTAATTTGTTTATATTTTAGTTGTAATGTTTATTTTCAGCAAAATATTTATGTCTCTAAAAGTTCTTTGAATTTGGTCGTTCCTAAACAGTATTTTAGTTGAAACTCTGCTCACAAATGGACTCACACTGGCTAAATAAACAAATAAATAAATAAACACATTAGTCATTATATGTTAAACGGTATACCAGTAAATTGTTGTAAGCATAGTACTGGCAAGTGTAGCTAGAAATGAGGAAAAGGGGTTGTAAGCTACCTAATATTTCTGCTAGTGGGAGGCGAACCTGCGCAAAACTGCATGTCAGCTTGACTCTATAACCACTACACCACCACATCTTAAAAAAGTCAGGTGGCGTTACATTTTATCATCCTATCCGGTGTGTCTTTGTAGATGGTATGTATGATTTTTCCGGCGGTGTCTCAGAAGAAGTCATTTAAGAAATAATTTGTCAGAAAATTCACAGAATATCCAGATTTGAGAACCAAGACCAGACCCTCTTCGGGGGAGGAGACCAAATTGAAGCTGAGATGGGAAGAAAATGCATGAATGAGGCCAAAAATGGCTTTGGCGTGTTTCTTATGAGGAAATGACAATATAACATGATTAAAAGTTCCAAAAGTTTGATTTTTAATTATATGGAACCTTTACAAAAACTGTTCAATTAACTTCTCAACTCCGTCCTCAATTTTTTAGCTATAACACCCTCTTTGGTTCCAGAATGCTATCAAGTCTGACAACTGGAAGGAATTGGACTGACTCTTATGGAATGGGCGGGGCTGATTCTGGAATGGGCGGGGCTGACTCTGGTGCAGCTCCACCTTCTGGTGCAGCTCCGCCTTTGTGGTTCTGCAGCGAGCACCACTTGGCTTTTTATGGGTTTTAATGCAGCTGCAGAAGAACCAGTCAGACCAGTTCACCAGTTTCTGGGTACTGGGGACCACACCTACACTCCTGAGAATTGATTAGAATTGTATCACCACACAGCAAACTAAACTGTTTGGGCTGCATGGTGGCGCAGTGGTTAGCACTGTTGCCTCACAGCACGAAGGTTGCAGGTTCGAAACTCGGCTGCAGCCTTTCTGCGTGGAGTTGCGTGTTCTCCCCATGCATGCGGGGGTTTCCTCCGGGTACTCCGGTTTCCCCCACAGATCACAACATGCCCTATAGGTTATAAATTGTAAGTCGCTTTGGATAAAAGCGTCTGCTAAATAAACGTAAACATAAACTACAAACACACAGATCTGAAAAAAGCCTCCAGCAGCTGTTTGCTGAGGTCACACCGTACTGTGCTAAAGTTTTAGGCAGGTGTGGAAAAAAACGCTGTAAACAAAGGATGTTTTCAGAAATGATTGTTTTTTATCAGTTTGCAAAATACAAAGTGAAAGACCCCCAAGCATTTAGCCAAAGTCATCCAGATCCATGTTCAGCGTAAAGAAAAACCAGAAGTACTGGAAGTGATGGTCTGGCCCCCACAGAGACCTGATCTGGGACTACAGGAGGATGTGCGGAAGCCTAAATCCACAGAAGGTCCTTCAACAGCTGTGTGCAAGTGCAGAAGAACTGATGCTGCTCTGAAGACAAAGGGTGGTCACACCTAACTTCAATCTGATTTAAATTTCTCTTTTGATCATTCACTGATTTGTACTGATTGATGTAAATAAATGATCAACACCTCCATGTTTGAAAGCATTCTTTGATGACAGCAGTTTTCCACACCTGCTTAAAACTTTTGCACAATAACCAACCTGGTGACAGTGCAGCTTCTTAAGCCGGGCGTACACTGTGCACCTTTTTCACTTTTTTGAGCCGATTTTCCACTCGTGTGAGAATCTACGAGATCTGGGTGAGGTTTTGCGCTGAGCGTCGTGTAGCGTACATGTTACGAGTATACAGCGTTACGAGAGGCGATTAACACCACGTGAACAGCTACTGATCAGCAATTGTGAGCTCGCACGGACTTCTGGAGTGTTTGATATTTTGCTCGTTCCTCGTGAGGGTTGAAGAGGCGCGGCGAGCGGCTGCAACGCAAAAAGTACCAGAACCGCTCACGGCGCATGCACATTCATGTGTCAACACCGCTCACCCGCCATTTCCCTAATAACACACGCTGTTCGTTTTTATTTCTACACGTTTTTTTTTACACAGTGACAAGGACTGTCAAGAAAGCGTGTCTGTCGTGTTCATGTCAAATTAAACTGATCACAAAACACAGATTTACTTTCTTTATTTCGTTTTCCTCATCCAACCCCCATAAATCCCTGTGTGTCCTCCTGCAGCACTCCCGAAGGACAACAGGCAAAACAAGACCAAAAAGTCTGGCGTGTTGTGTAAAAACTGCTATTTTTAGCATTTTTTAGGTCCGACGTGTTGCTACCAGACGTACAGTGTGAGCAGTCAGGTCGCATCCGAGAACTGGGACATGCAGTGTGAGCACATGACTCGTGAGATTTGCCCTGCGAGGAAGTCGTACAGTTTGAGCTGAAGCTGAGTGCTACGAGTGAGAAAGTCGCACAGTGTCCGCCCAGGTTTACTCTGTGTAGTTCTTAACAAGGAGGCCTTCTTTCCTGTATAGATCTACACAGTCTAATCTCTTTTGGTCAAAGGTCAGATTATAAGCCTTTATTCTGAAACGATGTTTGCTGACCGTTTCCATTAGAAGCGATGGTAAAGCAGACCGCAGTCATGAAACAACCTTTGAAGTCTTCCTGACCTGTAATTTTCTTTGGCATCCTCCAGCGCAAACAGTTTGAACTCCTCGTACATCTTCCTGTTGAAGTTGTCTCTGAGGAAGAAGGACCAGAATCTGAACAGTGTGTTCATCTCCTGAGACTGACCGATCCCCAGCCGTTTCCTCTCTGAAGGCGGAGAAAACAACAGGCTCAGCAGGACAGACATGACGTTATTATGTGGATGGATACTGGCCCAGCGTGGCATCTCATACCGTTAAGGCAGCGCCGACGGTACTTGTGATATCCCTGCTGAGTAAAGCCGTTGTCCCTCAGCGTCTGGTGGGATGGATGCCAGAACTTGGGCAGAGACTGGGGGGTGCAGCTGTAGCCTGTCAGCGGAGCTCCTTCAGATGGAGATGCGTTGGAGCTGTTGGAAATGTGGAGGGAAACTTAGTGATTCTATGTGAAGAACTTCTACAACAACCTTCTAAAAAGGCGTTTTCAGACCTGATAGATGCAGAACGTGAGCGGTGTTCCCGGGAGTCCATCACCCAGCCGATGTGGGCTTCATGAGGAGGGTTTGAGCTGTGGCGGGTCTTCTTCTTCCTCAGCATCTGGAAAACCATAAAATGACACCTGGGGCTTTACTAGACAACGGCGACATTGTTCTTTAGAGTAAAAATGAGGGAATGGAGGGGTTGACTTGGCCTAAAAACAAAAATCTGTGCTTTATTCTATGGTAAAAGATGACATCTTTACTCGTTGAAGATTAAAGGACAATAAAGTGTGGATTTTTGTTTTTATTTGAAGTTAAAGATGGGAGACAAACAGGAAGTCGAAGGTGTTGGTTCTTCTGGGTTTGTCTAGCAGCATAAACTAAAATGAAAAATAGTGATGCACCGATGTGAAATTTTTGGGCCGATGCCGATATTGAGATCACTGTTATGGCCGATAACAGATATTTGATGATACCGATATATTGACATTAATGCTTCTAAAATCAGCATTTTGTATAGAATAAAAATTCCTAAAGCTGAATTTACATTATTATGTACACACACCACACACATTTACGGTTCTGAGATGATGTCATTCACTGTCACATGACTACCCCCCCCCCCCCCCCCAAAAAAAAAAAAAAAACAGATAGATGGTTGATAATATCGGCCCAGTTTTATTTACTGGACCGACACTGATACGTTAAAAAATGACTAACATCGGCCGATACCGATATTGATGCCGATATATTGTCTATCCCTAGAAAAATAGTTTTCCTACCGTGGACAGAGGCTGACCTAAACACCCACTGAACCGGTCCAACAGCATTTCTCCAGTTAGTAGAGTCTCACCTGACCATCAATGGTGGCGCTCTCTTTAATGACAGGATAAAAGCGCGGCGTCTTGTTGGGGTCCAGGCGTCCAGGTGTGCGTGGCGTTTTGGGTGTTCTGGGCTGGCGAGCGCTGGGCGAGTCCGGGACGGTTGCAGGCAGAGAGACAGCCAGTTCTGCTTCGCTGGCCACTAAACACACACAGCGTACTTTATTTATGTTTGGCGTCAAGGCTTCTGTTTGAACAATAAAGACTTGCTGTTGTCGATGATTTAGAGGAGCGATGATCTGGGAGATTTTACTAGACACCACAGTCTAGTTCTACACGGTTCTGAGTGAGAAACACAATCATAAACACAATCATCCTTCATGTTTTCTAAGCCGGGAGTACACTGTGCCCATTTTGGCTCATTTTGAACTGATTTGTCTCTTGGATGAGAATCTTTGAGGTTGTTTTGTGCCGTTAGTCACGTACGGGAGTAAACGAGAAGTGATAAATAAAACAAGTAACTGGAGTTCCGTTGGTCCCACCAGGTCACTGGTAAACCAGATAGCCAGTCCATCCCTGCCCAGGACTGGCATTAGCCAGCTTTTAAATGACAAAACAGCACAAAAGTCTCCAGGGCTTTCGGGATTTTGGATGTAAAGATTTGATGTGTTGAGTGAAAATTACTAATTTTTAAGTCCGGCATGTTGCTACCACACATACGGTGTGAGAACATGACTCGAGTACAGTTTGAGAAGGAGCCAAATACAATGACTGGAAAAGTTGCAGAGTATACGCCCAGCTTAGTTGGCAGCAACCTCAAATAAACCGCCTTCGGCATCGTCATCAATGGTGTGGGTAATAATGGTGAACAAACATAAGTGTATGCTGATTTGTACCAAGTTAAAAAACTTTCTGCTCATCATTTGAAAATGAAAAAAGATTTCCATTATTTTAAACTGTATGAGGTGGAAGACGCTGCTCTTTGTTGCATCATTACTGAAATCAGAGCAGAAAGCACAACTATGGCGTGGGACTGGTTCTATTAGTTATTAATAAGGAAAACTACACTAGCAGTCGCAGACTAATATGTGTGTGCATTTTAGTTTTGTTATATATGAAGTCAATAATAGGAGCATTTATTTATCAGTTCAGAGACAGGCTCCCATTAGTTATCCAAGAACCAGGGTGAAGATGCACTTCTGAATTAAAACACCGCATCTTCAGAAGTGTGTTTTTGTGCTACCTGAAGACAAAAGATGTCCTCCGATGACATGACAGAGCCAGCAGTGGCTCCCAGCTCGTTTGGGTTTGACACCTCTGTTCTAAAATAACTCTGTGGCAAAACCCACCTGACATGGGAGGAGGCGGGACTTCCTGGTTCGGGTCGATGGGCACTTTAGGTGTGAGGGTGTCAAACTCATCTTTACTGATGACGTTAATTTTCCTGAAGTTCTCCGCATCCTTCAGGAAGACATCAAACAACATACGGTGAGTCACAAGGCACTAAATAAAAGTCTGATGTGTAAAATAAATCAGCATGAAAAGCTCAACCTGTAAGTTTACATGCTTAATTATAAGATGGAGTCAGATAATATCTAGGATTCCTTTATGTTAATCAACATATCTCAGTTTTATTGTCTCAGATCTTCCTGCAGGCCTTTGACCTGATAACAGGACAACATGTAGGACGAGATGTCACGCTGGGACGCACAGCACGTGTGTAGTGGACTCTGGACTTTACACGCCAGCATCTGAGACCAGCTGTATTTTCTTCCACAGTCATCCATCAGAGCGTGTGTGTGTGTGTGTTAGTGTGTGAACCTGAGGAGTGCTGACGATGCTAGAGTCCTTGACACAGGTTAATGCTGAGGGGATGCATATTCTGAAGGTTTTAAATGTTTTGGGTGAATAAATAATTATGTTGATGTTGTTAAAAATCGCTGAAGCTGAAATAAACTCATTCAGAGCTTCAGAGTCTCAACAGCTGTGGGACCGAACGTTTCCTGCTTGGATCAAACTCAACATGTAAAGAAGATTTATGACTTATTTCAGGTTTCTGTGTGTCGGCTGGTTATTTACATTATTTAGTAACTTCCTCACCAGGTAGTTTCGGGCTTCTGTACTCTGCTTTATTTGCCCAATAACTGTGACTGGTTAAAGAAAGTTTCTTTTTAAATGGTGAAGATGGTGAGTAAACATGGAAATCAGAGAAATAGCTAAATAAATAAAAGCATAAATCAGGATTTTGATTTGTTCCATACAACCCAAGGTTTAAAACATCTGCTGCATCAAAATAGACTCATTTGCACACACATTCACACACACTGGTCTCACCTTGCCGCCCTCGGCTGGCTCCTCCCCCCACAGGTCCTGCTCGTAGTAGTAGAGCCCATCATTAATGGCTTTGGCAAGCTCGGCCGTGATCCGGGCTCGGGACTCGTGACTTCCTGTACGATCTCCGCCAGGATGCTTACGGAGATAGGGCGGGGTCTGTGTGACGATGAGAATCTTGTTGACATCTTGGTCGTCCAGCTCGTAGTCCGAGTCATCCTCGTCGGACCAGTCTGTGAAATTGTTCTTCCTGGGTGCCAGCTGTTCCATTTCCTCATCGAACATGAAGTCCAACTCCTCCTGGTCCGGTTCAGCCTGGAGAGGAGTCTGGTGGATCTGAGGAGGTGCCTTACCTTCACCCTAGTGCACACAATGAACACAGAATCGTCAAATAGCATTCAAAATCAGACAAATATTGAAAGATGGAGAAAATCTTGTGGCAGCTATAAGCAAACGGTTTACTCAACTGGCCACTCCTGAACATTCGCTACCACAAACTCCTTCTAGCCCAACCATCTCAAGCCCTACTGCTTCATTTTCCTCTTTTTCCCCTGTCACTGAGAACTGTGTCCAAGCTTCTCACGTGCAGCCGCCCTACTACATGCCCACTTGACCCCATTCCGACTAAGCTGCTCCAAGCTATTGCTCCTACAGTAGCCGCAGCAGTCACATGTGATCAACGCTTCACTGACATCCGGTACATTTCCCACCTCTCTCAAGCATGCTCAGGTTAAACCGCTGCTAAAAAAAACAAAACATCTCTTCCTCCAAATCATGTGGAGAACTACTGACCTATCTCTCTCCTCCCTTTTCTGTCCCAAATCATTGAAAGGGTGGCTTTCAAGCAGATCACAGAATACCTTTCATAAAACTGTCTGCTTGACCCTTACCAATCTGGGTTCAGAAAGGGCCACTCCACTGAAACTGCTATGTTAGCAGTGACGGAATGCTTAAAAGAAGCTAGAGCGACTGCCAAATCCTCAGTGCTTATCCTGCTCGACTTATCGGCTGCATTTGACACTGTCAACCATGGCTTCCTTTGGTCCACACTCTCTAGCATGGGCATCACAGAGAAAGCACACACCTGGTTTGAATCGTACCTCACAGGACGATCTTCCAATGTATCTTGGCTTGGACAGTCCTCTACCGTGCACCATCTTGCCACAGGAGTCCCCCAGGGCTCTGTACTAGGACCTCTTCTCTTTGCCATATACACCACCTCACTGGGTGAGATCATTCGATCACATGGCTTCTCCTACCACTGCTATGCAGACGACACCCAGCTCTATCTGTCATTTCCACCGGATGACCACACTGTCTCTGCACGAATATCAAACTGTCTCTCTGACATATCAAAATGGGTGACATCCCACCATCTCCAACTCAACCTCTCTAAAACTGAACTGCTTGTCATCCCAGCAAAAGCATCCATACAGCACAATATCTGAATCCAAAATGACTTCCTATCTCTGGCTCCTTCAAAGGCAGTTCGAAATCTGGGTGTTGTGATTGATGAACACCTGACCTTTAAAGATCATGTTGCCTCTGTTGCCCGTTCATGCTGCTTTGCGCTGTATAACATACGAAAGATCAGACCATACCTAACACAACATGCCACCCAGTTCCTGGTGCAATCTACTGTCATCTCCCACCTCGATTACTGCAATGCCCTTCTAACTGGTCTTCCAGGCTGTACTGTGAGACCTCTTCAAATGATCCAGAACGCAGTGGCGTATCTGGTCTTCAATCAGCCAAAAAGAGCACACGTCACCCCTCTGTTCATTGAGCTCCACTGTCTACCGCTAGCAGCACGCATCAAATTCAAATTGCTAACACTAGCATACAAAGTCCGAGATGGTACGGCTCCCTTCTACCCGAATCCTCTTGCAAAGGCTTACATCTCGGCCCGGCCGCTCCGGTCATCACAGGATCGTCTGCTAGCAGTGCCTACACCACGATCAGGACAATCCAGACTCTTCTCATGCATCGTTCCACTAATGTGGAATGACCTACCAAGCACTACCAGAACAGGGACTTCCTTTTCAATTTTCAAGAAACTCCTGAAGACCCTGCTCTTCAGAGAGCATCTTCTAAACTAGCACCCTCCCTGCACCCGTCCCCCTTCTCTTCTGTCCACTCCTTGTTCCCTCCTCTCCATGATTGATGTCAAGTTGTTGTTGTTATTGTTGTTAGCCTCAAGGGCAACATGCCGATTATCACTTGTAAGTTGCTTTGGACATAAGTGTCTGCTAAATACATAAACATAAAATCAGGAGACTTGGTGAAGAACGACAGCTTAAAGAGGAGCTCGTGTTTTCATCAAAAAGTTTGATGAAAATGTCTAAGTGTACCATCAGCTGGAAGGTGAGACATGAGATTACTGAGAGAGGACAGACAGAAAAACAGGAGACAAGTACAAAGGGAAAACCTGATATTTGGACATCTCATCTCTGACTGGCTAACAGCAACACAATTTGATCACTGACTCCGTTTGCTCTTCAATGTTGATGTTTTATGTCCACAAATAACACAAGCCTGGAGGAGTTCTGCTGTGTGGTGGAGTTGCTAATGCTAACAGTTAACTTCGGCTAGCCAAGATGTTGTCTGGTGTTTCCTGGACGCTAAAACAAAAACAGCCTTCCTCGTGAGCCAAGATGGGTGAGTCCATGAATGTTAAGTGACAGTGTGACGTAGATCTGTCAGGCTTTTGAAATCCTATTTATCAAAAGCTAATGCAGCAGATAGGTGTAGGAGACTATTTTCTTGTTCAGCCGGCATGAAAAAATCAAGAGTGATCAATCAAAACCAGACATAATAATTAAAAATGTTTTTGATGAGTTTACCTGACAGAAAGGCATCAGACTCCCTGGATCTGACCGGTGGATTTTGTTCTAGTTTCAAAATCAACGTGAGTCTATTATCAGCAACAAGAACAGGATCTGGGTCACAAATGGCCCACGGGCCACAATTTGGACTCTCCTGGCATAAATGGACTGTTGACTTGCCCACTGCCCCCCCTCCCCCCACCCCCCAGAACCAGGTTCATCAGGTCTGTGGTGAACATGACCTCTCTGCTCTCTGGGTACCTTTGAACGCTGCTGCCTCATGGGCTCGACACACGGGAGGCGACGTCGCCTCTCCTCCATTCATTTTCAATTAGACATGCGCGACAAAGCGATAATAACGGGTCTCCCTCCTACCAAGCGAAACGCGAAAAACGTGCGTGTGAAATTTTGCGCTCGTGCACGTGTCATGCACAGGCGACCCAGTGACGCGATCCCAGAAAGTTGAAACATTTTCAACTTTTCATCGCTGTCGCTCGGACGAGGACCAATCAACGGAGGTTTCATTCACTGACCAATGAGCGGACAGGATGCTCCGTACATCTCCGAGCAAACATGGAGAAGTTGATTATTATTATGTTTTATATAGTAAAATCAGAAGTAAGATTTCACATAACTCTAACAGCACCTTGTGAAACATCATATCTACCACTTTATTAACTCTGAACCGCTTAAATAACCTTAATTCCCTCCAACCTGACACAGCCAAACAAAACAACAGAAGTTTCGATTTCGCCATGGAACAGAACGCGTAGACGGCTTTGCCGCTGATCGCCTCCCGTGTGTCAGGTAATAAAAGCGACGGCGACAAATTTCGTTGATCGCGGTCGTTTGTCGCCTCCCGTGTGTCGAGCCCATCACAGAGAGATTACTGATGTCCACCTCTGGTTGTAACCTCACAGGTCCAGGTGAAGAAAACAGACCCTACCTTTGGTTTTCCAGAGGCCTGTCGGTGACGTTTCTCCACCTGGATCCACATGTCAGGGTCCGGTTTGGGCACAATGGGGTCTTTGGACACTTCTGATTCTAGGGGGGACTCCTGATTGGAGGAGGTGGGTTCTCCTGAGTCTTGAGGCTGCAGTGGCTCTGAGAGAGGCTCTGCCACCGGTGATGAAGCTGAAACACAGACAGTCATGTTTCTGTCAGCACCGTTTACAGCTGTGTCACTCATTCATCCATTTGTTTGTTACCAACTAATGCTTTCCTTTTATCTGGTTCTGGTTCTCTTATCTAAGTAATAAAAATAAAGCCTGCAGGTGTTGAAATGACCAAAAACAAACATCCATAAATACTCATGCTCTCCTCAAACTCTAGATGCTCTAAAATTGATTAACTAACCATATAATATTCAACACTTATGAATACATTTATTTAAACGATCCTTTAGCAAAAAGATTTGCTGCTTATCTCCATCTCCACCAGGAGAACATGTCCTCCATCAGGTCATTTGTAAATTTACCTCAAGAACATAATAAACAACGTCTCTGTTCATAACAGGCACCTGGAGGACAAGGGAAGTGAGACAGGAGGCGGAAGAGGAGGAGAGTGGTTTGATCTCAGCTCCTGATGGGTTGATACTGACCGGTGTTTGTGGAGGCGAGGTTCTGACGAGGAACAAACTCGGGACAGTTGATGAGTTGGGAGAAGTCTGTTCGAGGGGAGCCCACTACGAGAGGAACTGGGATGGGCCAGCGCTCCGGTTCGGTTTTACAGCGGATCCTATCATCCACCAGCTCCACCTCCGTGCTGCTTTTCAGAGCCTGTGGAAAGAAGCTCAGCTCAAATCTGACAGCAGCAGCACCCAGCGGGCGTCGGACCTACTGATGAATTAGGTGGCGTTACCTCCATGATGAGGCTGACGTCAGTGGTGAGAGCCTGAACTCTGTGGAAACTGGCGATTAGAGAGATGGGGAGGAAGCCCTGGGCGTCCATCTTCCTCCTCAGGAAAAAGTCCCGCTCCAAGTTGTGAATGCTGAAGTAGTATTCACTAGGAGGAGAGAACGAGTCGGATCAGCCCTCACCACGGGATTCAGTTCAGCTCATTTAAGACAACTAGAACAAAGCTACAGATGAACCAATAACATCAGAACTGGTCTCATTCTGGATTAGATGATGGCCGGCCAATCTGAAGCCCAAATTTCAGATTTTTGTTTTTGGTTAGGCCGTGTGAACCCCTAACCCGTACTCACCATAACAGAAATCTGATTCACTCAATAAGAAAACATCCATGTAGAAGTTTTTACCTCCAGAGTCAAAACATTTCTTTCAGAATGTTTGTTGGTTTCATAGTTTGTTAGTTCTAACGTGGAAAAAGGCTAATGGGAGTGTGTATGCCGTGTTCATCACCGCTTGATGATTACATTCAGAGGGAAAATTCATTTGTGGGTTTGTGAAGCTTTACCTAACCAAACCCAAGTCTGCACGGCCCTAGTCTCCAGCCTGTCACACCACTTCAAGTCACCATGCCTCTGCACACATGCACGTGCACACTTCTGCACCCATTCTGCAGGCAGTAAGTAGTTTCATGTGGCAGAGGATTGAGTGAATGGGCAGCTTGAATAACGCAGGGAGACGTGAGGAGGGAGAACAAAAATACCACCCCTCTCCTTTGTCACTCACTGCATCTCACCCATCTCTTCTCTCCTTTTTTCAACTCTTTCCTTTTCTGCTCCGGCCTGGATATAATTCATGACCTGCCCCCTCAGCAGCACTCTGTCTATATTTAGGACCACCCCACCCCCTGGAATGAATCTGATCTTTAAGACCCAAGCCTTTGGTGATGGTGGACTCAACGCTGCCTCCTGCAGGTCAGACTGAAAACAGCAGCGGCAAAAATTCTGTTTTCTCTCGTTCGTGTTTCAGCCTCATGTAACTGCACACTGCAGAAGTACTATAAAAGTTTTATTTTCCAGCACTTTATTAAAACTACAAGCCTTTCAAAACTTTGAAAGCACCACATTAAATTCAAAAGTTTAAAGGATTTCAACCATAAAACCCTGTAAATGAATTACCAGACCACTAAGATATTGGCTAACTGCTGCGCTAGTCAGCCTGGAAGAAATCACTGATCAATAATTTTATGAGATTGCTTCAAAAGTTCAAAGGTAAATAAATTAAAGCCACCCAGGTGTGTTCGTCTCTTAAAAGTCAGGAAAGTCTAAAATGCAACCCCCCAGCTTTCTAGTAAGAAAAAGTTTGCTTCTCCAGCAAGTTATTGATCTGTAATATTTTAATAATTACTAATATCCTTGTTTTGAGAAGTTAAAGGGAAAATTATCATCACAAAATAATTTTAGCTTTCAAAAATAAATAAGTAAATCACGTTGTTGTTGTTGTTGCCCGTGAGGACTTTTAACTTGAAAAGACTGGACACTCCTGTTTTAGGTCTTCCTGTTAACGGTTATGTTCCCTCAGATCATATAGAAAAAGAAAAAGAGAGTAAATACATACATTTGTCGTTTGATGTATTCCTTTAGTAGCTTCTCTTCCACCGTGTACATCTGAACCTTTCTGCCGTCGTCATAGTAGTAAACCATGTTGGTACCAAACTCCGCCGGCACCTGAACCGAGCTGTCGGACGACTGGGAGTCTCTGAAGTTCAGGGAGTATTCATACCGACCTGATAAAGCAGCACAAACTCTTTAAATGTTCCACACTGGAGAAAAATACAGAAACATAAACCCAAAAAAATATTAGCTAACCAGAACCTCGTCCATGAAATCTCCCACGTCCACGACCTTTCCCTCTTCCTCGTGTTCCTCCTCGGACGGTCCCTCCATCACTGGGAACGCTGGTGGGATCGTCCTGTGGCTCTCCTCTCTGACCTGTTAATGACAAGTACGTGAACTCATAGTACTTCACATGCTGGAGATCCTGCACCAGCTGGGCAAACCTCACTGAGTCTAAAATAAATATAAATTTCACATGAACACCGAGACTAACGACTGGTCGTTCTCCAAAATCATCCAGAAAAAAGGGCGGGACTCTGGTATCAGCTAATCTAAAAAACCTTTTACATTATTTTATAAAACCTTTGTAGCTTCAGAACACAGATGTATTAAATATTTCCTGAAACATTAAAGGGATATTCCACTGCCAAGTCTGTTGCCATAGTCCCCAGAATCAGATAAGAGGAAAAATAATTTTGTAACCAGCTCATCTGGCAGTATTCCATTAGCTTAGCATAAACAATGTAAGTGAATGGCAACAGCTAGCATTTTGTGTGAAAAAGTCATGAAAATGGCTCAATAACGATCCTAATTTTTCTTGATGACTGAGTTGGTTACAAAATGTTTTTACATGTTTTTACTTTAAAGATGTGTCTTCGCACACTTCCAGCCCTAAAAGGGGAATAAGCTCACGTGCATGCTCTTGTTGTGTTTAAAAAGATGGCAAAAGAAAAAGGGCACACCATCTGAGAGATGCATGCATCAAGATGATCCCACCAGTATCTTCAGGGACTTTTTCTGTTTGACAGTTAAAGAAATTCTCACTTAGAGAATTCCACACACTGCAGTCCGCTGGATGGCATGCCAGACTCTGTGGTACCTCTCCTTTCATATAAAGACAGGAACAAGAACCTCCAGGTGTTATTGGATTCTGCTGCTCTGACTATAACATGAAGACATCAGGATACAAACAACCAACCCGAGGTTCAGGTGAAACCAGGTTGGACAAAACCCAAGAGCTGTTTTTGAGATTCAGTCACTAATCTGATAAGGATCTACTTTAGGAAATATTTACAACATCTGGATTCTGATGCAAGAAATTCCTTCATAAGATATCAGATTCAGCTCCTTCATTTGCCCAGTTGATACCAAATACTAAATAAATCAAAATTATGAAAATAAATATAATCATGACTTGTACAGTGAAATCAAATTCACGGCATTCTTGTTTTCTCTTAGTCTATTCACAGATCAGTGACTTTCCCTAAACACTTTGACCTGTGGTGGAGAAAACCAGAATAGGACTACCAACCTTGGCAGACGAGCTAACATCTATTTGAGCCACAAACATGAGTAAAATAACAGTTTTAAACAAAAAATGTAGTCAGAAATTAATAAGTTAAAGGTCAAGCAGTCATTCAGGCATGCACAAGAAAAAGAGCTTGAGACTGACAAACGATATCAGAGAGCAAAGATCAAAAAAGCTGATACAGAAGCAGAAAGAGACCAGTGAGCAGCAGACCACTTACGCCAGCTGCTATCATGCATCCTGTTATTATGGAGCTTTTGATTGAGTGATGTGGAATCAGGCGAGGTGCTGACGGGTTCCGAGTCCGGGCGAGACGAGCGTGAATCATCCCGGGACACTTCATCCAGCGGCAGAGAAACCCACTTTCGTTTGTTACCTAGCCACACCGAAAACACAGCTAGAAGTTTTGGTTCAACAACACAAACGTCCTGGAACAAACTAATCAGCTGGTTTCTGAACTAAAGTTGGAGAATTCACTGGTTTCTACACAATTTAAACCTGAATCACAAGCAAACATTTAGTAAATGTAAATAATGATAATCACTGGATCAAAGTGAAGATTAGATGCAAGCTACTGTGAGCCTCCAGAGTTCTATAATGTGAAATCAAACCAAGGACAAATCAAACATAATTAGTGTAAAATTAAGATTATTGTTGAATTTGTTATGATGATGTGCTCTAACAAATATCTGGGTATTCAAAGTCAGTATCCCACTGGGCTGCAAATGTCAGCGATAAACTACAAACAGCATTCAGACGAAGCTCCTAAAAGGCCTGGAGATGTTAACGGGAATTCTCAGATATGTTTATGTTTATGTATTTAGCAGACGCTAAGCGACTTACAAGTGATAATCGGCATGTTATGGCTAACAACAATAACAACAACTTGACATCAATCATGGAGAGGAGGGAACAAGGCGTGGACAGTAGAGAGGGGGGACGGGTGCAGGGAGGGTGCTAGTTTAGAAGATGCTCTCTGAAGAGCAGGGTCTTCAGGAGTTTCTTGAAAATTGAAAAGGAAGCCCCTGTTCTGGTAGTGCTTGGTAGGTCATTCCACATTTGTGGAACGATGCATGAGAAGAGTCTGGATTGTCCTGAGCGTGGTGTAGGCACTGCTAGCAGACGATCCTGTGATGACCGGAGCGGCCGGGCCGAGACGTAAGCCTTTGCAAGAGGATTCAGATAGATGGGAGCCGTACCATCTCTGACTTTGTATGCTAGTGTTAGCATACAACACTTCCTTTGTATGCTAGTGTTGGCATACAACACTTCCATTGTATGCTAGTGTTAGCATACACTTCCTGCGCTCGCTGGAATTTTGACAACGTTAATAAATAAGTTGTGCAAGTTGGTCACAGCTTAGTTTATGTGGGCCATAAAGTAAAGGAATGCATCTTTGAGAAGACTTAGTGATCAGACTGAACAAAATGACACATAGCAGACACTAAATTTGACTAAATTGCAGCAGAAAAGTGCAACAATGTCAGTTCATTTGAGCTGCAATGTTTAGTCGACCGCCACTTTGAGGTTCGATACGACAGACGAGGGTGCCGTCACTGCCAAAGTTGTTTCTGTAGAGGTCGTCACGTTGGTTAGTGGTGTATTCACAGGTGTTGTAGGTGAAACAGTTTCTACAGCCGTCACCGATGCTTTGGAACAAAAACTGGTGATTGATCGCCGAGGTTCCCGGCAGCTAATGGCGGCGGTTTTGTGGTTAGATCCATTCATGTGGGATTTGATAGCGCAAATGCCCATCGAGGCGACATTAATCTTCTTTTACAAATCGAACAGTACGCCTCCTTATCGTTGTTGGCTACAGGCTTAGGCCATGGATTAAAATCATCCACATCAAGCCAAGAAAGAACAAATTTACACTTCCCCATTTTGCTTCCAACATCTTCTCCTTGAATTGGCGAGATACATCACATACACGGTGGCCAAAGTCACGTGGCACGGAAACACACGAAAACGGCTGGCAGAGACCTAAAATTTGGTTAATTTTATTACCTTGTCACGTTTATTTTTAATATACAGACTTATTTTAAATACACATCAATACTCACCGAATGTAAGACTTCACTTAATGGATTTAAGACTTTTTAAGACTTTTTAAGGGTCTTAATTTGCCTAAATTAAATTCAAGACTTTTTAAAGACTTTTTAAGGGTCTTAATTTGCCTAAATTAAATTCAAGACTTTTTAAAGACTTTTCAAGACCCGCGGATACCCTGTTAATTTTACTTCTGATGGACCAGAACCATAAAGTTATGAGTTTGCTGCACGCCTCAGAGAGCAGAGACAAACCAGAGGGAGAAACCATCGGCCAAAGCAGAGAGACTAAGAAGCAGCGGGGGGTGGGGGGGGGGGGGCAGCAGGTGTCTGGTGAGTTCACGATGCTAGCTTAAACTCGTGTGCTAACATTAAAATATAGTACAGATTACTATCATGTATCAGACAATTAAAATAGTATTGGTCAGTTAATATAATATTAATACTAATGAGCGTCTGTCAGCTGTCTCATACTCGTTAATATCCGTTCACCTAAAGTAATTTAGCTTAGAGAGAGGGAGAGAGATGCCAGTCATCCGGTTCTGGAGTTCATGCGGGCGTCTGTGAGCTGGATCCGACCCAAACACCAGCAAGCCAGTCCAGTCGGTATTTTTAAAAGCTGCACATGATCCTCTCCTGGTTGGCCGGGCGGCGGTTCTGAACCGGTTCCGACCCGGAAACCAACTGGCCTGCTGAGCCGCACATCTCTTCTGGTGGTCGGTTCTGACCTGGTTCTGATGGTGATCTGAGCTCCAGACATCCGCATTTCATTTTTTAAACCGCACCACGGGTCTCCCAAGCCCAGCGCGGACCTTTCCGTCCCGGTTCCGACCGATGTGGGCTACAGAAGTCCGTCTTTTCAGCTGCAGAAACACCCTCAGGCACGGAGATAGAGGCGTCGTTTCTCTTACCTGGAAACCCGGGGACTCGATGTCCAGACAGGCAGGAGTTGGTACAGCCTTCACACACTCTAGTTTATCAACACGAACACAATCCAACACTAGTAAACACACACACTGACTGGATAACATGACCTCTCTACCCTAAAACTAGCCACTCTCCACACTGAGCTGAGGCGGCCTAGCTTCTAACTCCCTTTGGTTACTTCAGAGGTTTAGATTTTAAAAAAAAGAGCCTTTTTAGAAGCTTTGCTGAGAAAGGCCACTTTTGACTAGAAAACTCTGCTGTTATGTATTTTAAAATTAAATATCCACGACAAACATTTCAAATAGGATTTTTTGGACAGCATTTTATAAGAATTAGAAAAAAATGTTACCTGCAATTTGCTTTTTAAACATCATGCCATACCATATGTCTGATTTAGCAAAAAAGCATATTAAAAAGAGTTTTGTAGTTGGACAAACACCTTCCTCAGTAGAAATAAATGCACTGGGGGCAAATAGAGACCCATCTAAGATTGCGGACGACCACCACGGCTGTTCCATTAGGCAGTGCCAGTCCATGGGGGGTCTACATATATGATGTCTGTGGGACTCTCGAGCAAATACGGAGCCTAAGTCACGCCCATCTACTTCTGGACCATGGGTCCCGATCTACCAAAACAAAAAAAAAAAACAAAGAGAGAGAGAAAAAGAATGGCGGTCTATGGGGGGATAAAAGTTATTTTCTCATATGTGCCATGATGGATTCAACATATGATGTCCGTGAATTTTAAAGATACATTTTGATGCCAAGAAAGCACTTATTTTCCAGAGGAGGCAAATGTTATTTAGGTTTGGCGTGAAAAGACGTAGCGAACGACAAATGTTCGTTTCATAACACTGACTTCATCAAACCAGACTCGGAGAAGATGATTAGTTTAGCAAGTTTTGAATCCGTCTTCCAAATGCCCCAACAAGATCCTTAGCTTTATCCTGACTCAGGAATTGAGTTTTAGCTTTCAGATTGTTTTATATTATTATAAAAGTGGAGTAAATGAAGAGAAACTGGATACATTGGTTCATTACAGCACAGCATTCATCAGTCACCAAACCCACATACCACAAATCACACTAGCAAGACATTTCTTAGCAGCATTTGAAATGATTGCAGACATGCTTTTCCAAATCTCTGAATGCACCGTCTCCAAGAGCTCATCAACTCCAGTGATAACAGGCCTTCCCATGTGGAAGTTTCCCTTTCAGAGTTAGATTTTTCAAGAAGAAAGAAGATGAACTATATTATGTTGTAAATAAAAGATGTTTGAAGTTAAATCAGTCTCGGTGGGTTACAGCTGTGTAGGAGGTGGAAATACTAAAAGCTAAAATCTATAACATGTTTGAAAACTAAATAAAAATGTTTCTTTACTTCCAGAAATAATGACGTCCTCATCCAAGCCTATTATAAGGCAAGGGAAGTATTCAGGCACCATAATCAGCTGTGTCCAGACCAAAGAGACGGTCCGATTAAACATGCAGATAGAGAAACAGAAAACCCCAAAACAAAAATTATTAACGGGACTCCTCACCCTCACCTCCTGGTTTTTTCAGACTCTTGACATCTGGGGTCTCTGTGGACTTGTTGTCTTTGGGCAGCTCTCCCAGCGGATCGGGCTGAGCCTCCTGGTTCTCCTTGCTCTCACCTCCATCCCGGCTGCTCTCTGACTTTCTCTTGGATCCCTCCCTTCTTTTGTTTCTTTCTCTGCGTGACGAAGGCTTCTTTCCATTGTTGCTCAGGACATCGTGCTGCTGCTGAAATGGAGAAACGACAGATTTTGTTCACACGTCACAAAATAATACAAAATGTTGTTTTTGTTTAATCTCCACTTCAACTTTCTGCATCTTCTCACTTCTGTTTTTATGATAAAAACAAATGTTACTGAATCTTGTGTTTTGACCAATGATCAAATTTAGATTCTGTAGTCATGAAAAGCCTAATCACAAGACAAGATCTGATTTCACAAGTTTGAAAATTAAATTTCTAAACTATAATTTTAAGGAATTTAAAAAAACGAACCTTATTTTTGATTATTGAGACACATTTGGAACAGCAGTATGATTCTGGTCGCACATCTTTTGGTTTTAAAATAATTTGCAACTCGACCCACATCAGCAGAGATAATGAGCAGAAACCAGAACCCAACCACCTCTTCCATGATTAAACTAACAACCAGCACCCAGTGTCGTACCTCCTTGGCCAGTTCTCCAGGAGTGGGCCAGTTTGTGATGTCACTGAAGTCACTTGACTGTAAAAATAAAACACAAATAAAAACATTATTGCTGTTTTAGAGGTGCAGCTTTACTGAAGATTTTACTTCACCTGCCAGGGGGCGCTTTAGCAGAAAGTGAAACAGGTGGAAGTCAAAAGTGGAAATCGAAGAAAGTGCTCATTTTAATTTAGCACATACAAGCAGCCGGCACGACGAAGAATTTTTTTCAAATCCATACCCCCTCATCACGGTAACTACACGTATGAGTTCATATGTTGCCGCATTTAAGTTGAAGGCCATCGATCTGGCAGTAAAGGAGGGAAACAGTGCTGCCGCACGTAAGCTTGGCATGAATGAATCCATGGTTCGGCGTTGGAGACGGCAGCGGGAAGAACTCATTCAAGCCAGCTTCACCCAGGGATGATGACAGCAACACGGACAGCGTCACTGACATCGCCACAGAAAACAGGGTATCTGCAGGTTTAAGGGAGCCAAATTTAAGACTTTTTAAGACCTTTTTTAAGACCACTTTGACCAAATTTAAGCTGTTTTTAAAATTAAATTCAAGCTATAATTTCCAGCTATTGCCTGGAACCGGTGCTAACCACGTCGCAAACGTGGGATTAGCCATCCAGTTACCATTAAACTTGCACTTCCCCATGGCGCAAGCTCCCACTAGCTTAACCAGCTAATGTGCTCATCTAAAAATAGCCCCCTTTCACAACCAACTGAACGTGTACGGTTCCGCTTACGCCAACATCATACACAAAAAATGCTAAACACAAACTAGAAATTCACGAAAACTTTATAGAAATTAAAGAATCTTGTTTATTGGGTCTTTGGTAATTTAAGACCTTTGGAAACTGGATTTAAGGATTATTTGTCATTTTTAAGGATTTTCAAGGCCTTAAATTTGGAAAAGCAAATTTAAGACTTTTTAAGACATTTTAAGGACCCGCGGATACCCTGAGAAAAGGTATGTGACAAAGCTCTTCTGAGGCTGTTCAACTCCGACACTGAAGAAGAGGAATTTAATGGATTTAGTGCGCAAGAGGAAGATGAGAACGAATGTGTTTTATTTACTAACCAGGCATGTTTTGTGTGCAGTTTTTATTTTCTAATCATCCGGGGCTTATTAATGCTGTGTCAGCGCTGTTCTTTTCTTCTAAACATGCATGCAAATTACCGGTAATAACGTGTCAGTTTTGTTTTTATTTCATAACATCCAGAAATATGAATGCTATCAGTGCTGTTTTCTTTTCTAAACTTGCAGGCACGTTCACCCGTGTTTAAAATTCGTTTTGTTGAATTAAAACAACAACGAAAAACCTCCGTGTAGCGTCTTTCTGTCTAATTATCTTATGTTATGGTCATACATGCGCTGTTGCCCGGAGACCTGCATGTGGCTGCTGCGCCGCGGCTTGTATTTGAGTGCAGCGTGTGTGTGTAGAAAACCCTTTTATTTGTTGGTGCGATCTTTAGTCCGGAAATTACGGTATTTCCTCTTGTGCAGATCAGTGTAAAGGGCTGTAGTCTGGAAAAGCAAACACAACTAAAGAGCAGGTGTGTGTTTCCCACTCAGCCGGTTGACTTGACGAGAGGTGGGAAAAAAACATATGGAGACTGTAATCGACCCTAACAAGGTCAGAACAGACATCAGAATGCTAAAAAAAGCTTGGATGTTTGTCGTTTGTGACATTCTTATCGTTTCAAAGAATTTGTGCAAGTTTTCAAAAATAAAAACACAGAAAAGTAAGTTTATTACCTTGCTGGATTTTCTCATCCTTGGCTTGCTGGCTCGGACGACTCTCAGAGCATTTTGTTGATCTGTAGACACACGATCAATGAGTCAAAGGCTCAAATCCTACAACAGACTAAATCAAAGTGTGTGTGTGTGTGTGGGGGGGGGGGGGGTCCTCCACTTTTACAGTCCACTGTGCAGTGTGAGGGGTGGGAGACATGATCCACTAATGATGCATCGCGTTGCAAGCAGTAGCAAATCTGCATTGATTTTATTAGCAGTCCTGAACTACATAGGAACTCTAAAGTGAGATGGTGCAGCACAGGGACCATTTCTGAGCAACACACATAACAGAAACATCATAGAGAGCCCAAGTCACGCTCATCTACATCCAGATCATTGGTCCCCTACAGCCAAAGAAAATAAATTGGGGGATAAATGTTCTTTTCTGATCCAGTTGTTTTGTGCCATGGATTTCACACAGATGTCTGCGAATTTCAAAACCAAGAAAGTGCTTATTTTTGACAGGCGGCAAAAGTTATTTTGGGTTTTGTGTGAAAAGATGCAACGGACTACAAATGTCCGTCTCACCGCATTGACGTAAACGAACCAGACATGGAGAAGAGATTATTAGTTTAGCGAGCTTCCAAGCCTTCTTCCAGGACAAAAGAAGGAGCACTAAACACGATGAAAACCACTTTAAATCTGGCCACGTGGAAAGTAGCAGCTACGCTGGAGAAGAGATTCTGCGGTGACATCGGATTTGTAGTAATTTTAATTACTAATTTTTACAAGCTAATAAACCTCAAAGTACTTGATAGACAGTCTAAACACACATTACTTTTAATTTAAATCAAAGGTCAACATATGTGATTAGAAAACAGCTTTTATAGCTCCGTTCAGGGACCCATGAGCTGATCTCAAGAGACTCATTTCTACCGGTGTGTTTTAAATATTTGGTCCCTTCACATCTAGGTCGACCCGGCCCAACCCTGGTAGGTTAACTGTGTTCACATCTGGATAAACTGAGTTTTCCGTGCTCAGCCGACCGGATTTTTCGGACCCGCTCTCTAATGAGTTGCTTTGGGTGGAACCAACCCAAGCCTCTAATTGGTGGATAGAGTCAGCCTGCAGTGGCTTCCTGCGTGTGCGATTCATTATCAGTCTGGATGCAATGGTGTAAACATCTTCTCTGACTGCAGCTCAGAACCACCGCTCCAGCTGCAGGAGGGAAACAGACTGCTGTCTCAGTGAGAGAGTAGGAAGCTGTGTGCTTCATATCAGAGTCCCCAAAAGCAACACGACTCACAGCCGCTTTTCTTTACCAACTTAAGGGAACTTCTCCACTTGTCTTTTGCCCCGCCCACATGTTTGGAGACATCTGCATTCCTGGGAAGGCAATGTGAACAAAATCTGGCAGTGCAGGGACAGGCCAATGCTACCAAGACTGGACTGGACTGGGCCAGATGTGAAAATGGCAACGGAGTCATGGCTGCAGAAATAGTGCACCACAGTGAACATTTTAAACCCAACAGAGAAGACTGAGTGAGACCAGTGTTGTATCAAAAAGTGTTCCTGTGAGTCTCTCACTGGGTGCAACTCTCTCCTCTCTGCTGCTTAAATTGGTGAATCGAGTCAGATTAAGACTCAAACACTTGTGTTAACCTGCTCAGGATTATAGCAAGAGTTGGCCTCTGTAGATCATCTAAAGGTTTTCTCTGAGGAATATTCTACAGTGTTTATGAGTTTGAAATTAAGTCATGAACAGATTATAATCCAGTTTAATATTAAAACAACCTGAACAAGGTTCTGTCAGTAGAAACCAGCTCAGATTAGATGTGGAAACAAAAAGTAACCTAAGTGGGTTATGGATGCAAAACATCCAGCTTGGTGGTATTTTTAACCAAAGCGAAGGCAGAGCTACAGTCATTTGTAATGTGTGTATAATCGGCATTCAATAATGTTGGAAAAGTCAGAGCTGCTTTCAAAACAGATTACTTTTGCATTTGGTTTTTCCCTTTGGGAGTCAACATAGCAAATCATCTGTCTTCACTAATTCCAAGTTCGCCAGCAAACTCGGAGCAACCCGACAGAGAAAGGTACGTGAATGAATAAAGACAAATTGCCAACAGACTGCAAAAAGTCAGGGTTTCTACTTCAGCCGCATGCCTGCTCCGTCATGGGAACGAACATCGCTCAATTCAGTTGATTATTGATGGAGTAATCAACTTGAAATAAGAGCAACGCTGCTACCTTTTAATGTGTTCATAAAATTAACACGTTTGTTAATTGATATACTTCCTAAACAAACAAAAGAGATATTTAAAAGAACAACTTGGATGTGTTTTCTTTATTTTCTTATTATTTTAATGCTTTCCTGAAAAGTATTGGCAGATACTACAAATTCAATCACTCGGAATCGGATCTGGAGGAAAAAACATTACTTCCTTAGTTTATCTGCCAAAAAATATCACTCATTCAGTAAGTACACTGATAAAAAATTTGTCAATATTACAAACAAATCTAAAAGTAGCCCCGTAGATAATATTTAAAATAGTTTTACAAGTATGTGGCTGCACTGAGCAATGTGAGATCCCACGACAGGGCAGACACTCTGTCATCAGCTGTTGAGTTGTGTGAGTAAAATTGTGACGAGAACAAAACTCATACGGCAGCTCCAGGAGACAGTCTCTTTGCTTTTTAATGTGTTCAGTGTTGGCTGGCTCCGTGTTTTTGTCCAAGTTGCTGCATTAAACTCTAAGAGCAGAGTGTTTGTTTTTAAGGTAGCAGACTAGGACTAAATGCAAACGCAATGTGACGATGCCTGAAGGGGGAAGCCGAAAGACAAAGAAGTTTGTTTTAAGGTGTCATAACAGAATCATAGTGTGAAATACCAAATCTGCACACAATAATAGTGGCTGTAGCACTGCATTTACGGTCTCGCTTAAAATCTAAACTACAGAAATTTTGAGTGATTTATTATAGGGCTGTAGCGAAGCCTCGACGAAGTCGACGGCTCGATTCTAAAAATTTGTCGACGTCAGATCCGGAAGTCGACGCACCGCGCCCACTTGTTGCATCCCCAGGAGTTTGTAAATAGAGGAAGAATCTGCCTGTTTTTCCTCTAGTTCGCCCTCTTCTCCGCCTTCACTAACATCTCCGCCAAATACCGAAGACCCGGAACAACGTCCGTCCACTACTAGATTATTTTCCTGTTTTGCCCGCCTTCGTCTCCCGGCAACGGGCAACAACTTCCGGGGTCAGATGCGCTGCTTCGTGTCTATCGCAGATGTAGAAAATCACCGGGAGCGCTTCTCCCTTCATTAAGGAGCTTCTTTCAGACATGAGGAGAGCTGTTTTGGTGGTAGCAGTCTCTCCTCCGTGCTGGTCTGTTTGCTGCTGGGTGTTTTTGGTTTATTTAAACTTGGTAACTTGAACTTAACGTTGGTAAAGCTACTGTTAGCATCTTCGCTAACAGCTTCTTGCGTTTGGATAAGCTGTTATGTTTTGGTTTAGAGTTCATCTTTTTTGTGGTGTAGATCTCCCTTTTATTACATTTAGAGTGTTGTGGGTTTTCGGTTTAGTGTAAAATATCACCTGAGTTTGGTTTAACCCGTAAGACCACTCGCCTCAGGCACATAAGTGACCAAAACAAAGCAGCATGGAGACACTCCATCTTCTACCACCTCTCAGGCAGCAGCCTGCACTCCCAAGTTCTACATGTCACCAGAACATAACCAACCAACACAATAAAAGCAGTGTAATACAAAATGGAAGGCCTGTAGTGTTTATTCTCTTACAGTAAGAATTTATCAATTTTTTTGAGGAATTTATTTGAGATTTTCTGGTTTTTGTTAATTGTGCAATAGAAAAATAATCATTAGATTAATTTTCTAAATAGTCATTAGAATAGTCGACTATTCGATAAAATAATCGTCAGAATAATCGTTTTAAAAATAATCGTTTACCCCCAGCCCTAATTTATTAACTAGTAGAAGTACTTTGAAATTGATTCTGTAATTTACTGGTAACCAGTGTAGTGATGCAATAACAGGAGTGATGTGTTCGGTTCTCTTGGTTCTTGTTAAGACTCTAGCAGCAGCATTCTGAATAAGCTGCAGTTGCTTCGTAGCTTTTTTGGGAAGACCAGTCAAAAGACCATTGCAATAGTTCAGCCTGCTGGAGAAGAACGCGTGAATGAGTTTCTCTAGAACTTGTCTGGAAATGAGACCCTTGAGTCCTGCTATTTGATGGAGATGATAAAACGCTGATCTAGTTATAGCCTTAATGTTACCAGTGAAGCTCAGGTCGGAATCAATTATGACACCAAGATTTCTAACCTGGGTCTTTGTTTTTATTCTAGCCCTTACATATAATGGCATCCTAATGATTTTTCACTGGGTGGAAAATCGATATTCAACATTGGATCTTTTTTTTTACTCTTGGCCTCTTCAACCAGCCCACGTGCACGCCACGAGCATGTGCACTCCAAAAAGAGATCTTGAGTTCTGGCTTCAGTCATCACAAAGGCAGGATGTACAGTACCAGGGATGTGTATTGTTGAAATTCTGGCGATACGATACATATCACGATACAGGGGAGACGATACGATGTATCATGATATATTGCGATACATTCAGTCAGACGTTACAAGCAATTTTTTTACTGAATTTATTGTAAGAATGTTCAATAAACAGTCCAAACTGATACGTAACATGTTTAACATGAGGTATCTGAACCATGATGGAGGGATTTACATTTCAATGGTGGAAACAAAACCTGTTGCACACTGCTGCCAACTAGCAGGTGGCGATTGAATTGCACAAAATGAAAAGAAAATGCACAAATGTTTGTATGTAAATTCTGTCAAAAATTAGATACACAGCTTTTGAATATTGATGTAATAATCGCAGGAAAAAAATCACGATATATTGCCATATCAATATTTCCGATACACGGCTTTTGAATATCGATATAATATTGCTTGAAAAAATATCACGATATATTGCCATATCGATATTATCTTACATCCCTATACAGTACCATATATGAACAACACCGCTATAGCCTGCACTGTTCCACTTCC